TGTTAAGAAGATTGAAAAGGAGAGAATGATTAGTATGAAAATAAACGAACAATGAAGTGTGAGACGACTGATTGACAGTTTGTAAATGAAGTATTTACTGTATGATTCTCAGATGTCATTTTGTATTCAAATACAACCAATTGTTCCCATTTTGTTTTCTCGTTCACATTATCACCTAAATGAATGGTATGTTAAAATGTGGATTTAAAATCTTTTTATGGAATACAACTTTAGCAAATAAAATTAATTATAAATACGATTGTACAACTGAATGTTTCTTCGCTGAATCTCCTTCTTCAACTTCTTCTTCAGTGAATGTAATTTCACTCCTACATCCATCGAGTTATTGTTGTAGTGTGTGTGCTATTGATGTGAACAGATATAAGTAGTATGTATCATCGATCGTAAGTGAAATGTTTGGTTGCAGAAGGTTATGAAGATCAAAGAAAAGAGAATGATTGATGTAAAAACGAAAGAGCAACAAAGTTTGGGACAATTAATGAATATTTTACAAATGAAGTATTTACTATACAGTTCTCAAATTTCGCCAAGTTGTTCTGCGATTTTGTATTCAAATACATTCAATTGTTTGAGATCATGAACCGATTGATGTTAGACCACCGTTGGAAACATGGAAGCACTGTACGGCCTTTTCGTCGTATTTCGGGACTCCTCAGCAGTACGCATCCACGATCGCGCTCACGGATTCGAACCCATGGCCTTCAGTCACACACGCGAACGCTTAACCAACGGTGGTCTAACATCAACCAGTTCATCATCTCAATCCAGAACTTAATAATCTCTACAACCCCTTTACTGAACATTCAATTGTCCCCATTTGTGTTCTTATTCATTATACAATCTTTGAAATGATCAAACATTGAAGAGACAACACCTTATTGATATCTATATATATATATATGTTCACAATGTTTACTACAAAAGAAATTGGATCATCTTAGCAATAATTAAATCGAATAATTACAATATCACTATACATACATACATATACGTACATGTATCAATTTAGTTAATCTCTGCTTCTTTTTTAATAAATCGAAGAAAAATAAATAAATAAATAAAGGAACAGAACAGAACAAAGAAAGAAAAAAAAAGTAGGGAGGGGGGAAAACAAAACAAAAAAAGAGAAAGGAAAAACAGTCACAGTAACTATGTCTATATATATATTATAGTGATTATTATTTTATAATCATCATATTATCAGAAACCTTTACTCAAATCACAAATAACACATGCACATACAATGAAGGCAATAGAAGGTTGTTTTGCGTTTTCTTTTTTAGAAAAACAAAACAATAATAAAAACAATATATATATGATTACTATGATTAAAACGCTAATTTGGCGGAGGGGGGACAGACAAACAAACATTGTAAGCATAGCAATTCATAATGTATTATTTCTATTAACCGGTAATGAATTAAAATTATATATGGTAAATTTTATGTAAATTAAATTTTAAAGGTAGGAGATGAGTACATGGGTAACACCCACACCCACACATACACACGCACAAGCATTTACATTATACAAAGTTTCGAAATGAAAAGAAAAACCCAAGAAAACCAATATTATTTATCCCGCTCCCACCCCTTTTCTCCCTCTCTCTCTCTCTTTGTATTCACTTTCCATACATTCTCATTATAATTAATGAACGATAAATACACAGTTGATTTTGAGCTCAAATGTTTGTAATATAAACTAGTATGAATATATACATCTTAACTATCATTACCTATTCGTTGAAATTCAATTCAATGAGGAGATCTATTCAACGGATCGATAAGTTGTGCCTTAATCAATACAACATTCATTGTTCCTATAATATTGAACAAGTCTTTCTAATGTGAAATGAAAACATCTCTTCCTTCATCACAACAATTCAATTAATCTGTACAGAAAAAAAAAGAGAGATTTGCAGTTTTGAAGAAGAAAAACTGACAGAAGAATAGAATGATACATGGAGAACTTCAGAATAAGAAGAACAAGAACAATTACTTCATATATATATATATATATATATAATTGTGAATGGTGTATCTATCTACACATACATATACAAGTACTAATACATATACAATAGTAGAATATACTCAACTACACACTTACACATACAGACCACTTTTTTCTTCATATTGAGAAATAAATTAGAATTACAAATTTTGTAATTTAAAATTTATTTACCAATACATTGTTCCCCGTACCCCCACCCCAAAAAAATTATACATGAAATCACTGAATATATGTTATATAGAAGACACTGAGGGAGATAGGAGGGGGTGGAAACGATGGGATAGGGATTCATAAAAATATATAAAATAAAAGCCTAAAATCATTAAATATTATAAATAAATAAATAAATTTTATTTGTTTTCTTCTTCTTCTCTCTCTCTCTCTCTTATTGTCCAATGAAAGAAAATTTTCCCATGTTATCATCATCAGTAGTATGTTGTATGGTATGCGTATTGTGATTAGATTCCTCTTTTTGCAGAATATAATAATATATATCACTAAATAAATGTGTGTTGTTTTATATACTCTGACTCCCCCCCTCCTCTATTTATTCATATCTTTGTATTGTGACATTTTTTTCTCCACTTTAGAATAATGTGCACGCACACACAGACAAGCACAGACACATTGTCATTATCATATATCTACAATGTCAGATAGTAACTATTCATGATAAAGAGGAAAAAAGAACCACAAACAAATAAATAAATAAATAAATACAAGGCATATAGAATAATATTGACTATTGTTTGATGTTTCACAATCTTTTTCATCTCTTGAGCACATATAGAAAAATATTTATTTATATATTACAAATAAGAGATAAGGAGGAGAGTGGCAAACAAATATATATCTATACGGTATATCATGATGAGAAGAAACAATAAAAAAGAGAAATGAAAACACAGGGAGGAGGAGGAGGAGGAGGAGGAGAACAGAAACAATGAAAGCCAATCAATCAACCACAGGATGAATGATATACATTAACATATACGAGCAAATTAAGTCATTATACAGACGAAGAAGTTTCTACTTTCTCTCTCTCTCTCTCTCTGTGTGTGTGTGTGTAGGGGGATGTGGGAGAGAGACAGAGCGGGGAGATGGACGCATTAGGTAGACGGGTACCAGTAGTATGTAATCGAAGATATAATAATAAATAAATAAATAAATGTTTACATGATATCTTTTGGCGCTGTAATATAAAAATGACCAAATAAATAATTATTATATGTATAGAATAAAGTGAGAAAAGGTATTGCATAAAACCAGAATTGACAAAATAACACTGGTGTACTATTAGTTACCGTGATTTATAACCATGTTGAACAATAATACACAGATAGATAGATAGATGAAATGTGATGAACACATATACACACAATGAAAAACAACCGGTAAAAATCTATCATAAAATAAGCATTCACAGTATTTATAGAATGTGAATTATATGTATACCTTCAATGAATGAATGTATCAATCAATTGTAGCAACCGGGTAATATAACGCTTACATGGATATAAGTAGGAGTAGTAAGGGGCAATAAGTAGTACATGTGTATATATTTTTAAAAAAATACCAGATATAATTGTGTACAATAAAGAATGAAGAGAAATCGTTAATGAGAAAGGCTTCGAAATACATATACAAACATGTAGAAGAAAGTAAATAAACAGAGAGAGAGGTTAAGAGACTACACATAAGATAGCACAATCCTTACAATTCCTCTTCAGCACCATCGCCAACGTAATGATGTTGTTTCTGTCCACAAACATACATACATACATACATACATATATGCATTAAAGGATGCAATACATAGTCCAAGTGGGAATAAACGGGAAATAATGGAAATATACATTTTACACCTGATATTTTTCACTGTACACACAATCGTAAACAAATAAGACACTGTAAACTATAGGAATCCAACGACGTTTCTAGAACCACAATGACAAAATTGTCATAATAGCGGTATCAGTTAAGTCGATGTCGATTTATTTGAGAGTTTGAAAAAAAAGAGCAACTGCACCAAATCTCTGTCCCCCCCCCGCCAACTTTTCTGCAAAGGTTCACGGTAGTTGGGTGATGAGCACATTCACCGATAGAACAAAAGCATATATTGTTCAATTGTAAAAATAGGCATATTCAATTATATGTCAGAGTATTGAAAGAAAAGAAAAATGATGAAACAAGAAAGTAAACAAATAAGAATAACGATAATTCAAAAGAAACTATGAAATAAACACCAAAGTAAAAGAAAACAGGAAGCCGCACAGACATTGATAAAAACACACAGTCAAACACACACACACACACAGTGTAAAATGCAATCATGATCGGTTCATATAACAAACAATAAATAGTAAATAGGCAAAATAAAGTCATCAAATCGTTAGAATTGAATGCATAAAATAACTAGATAAATGTTGATCTTAAGAATATGGTTTCCTCTGAAAATATAAGAACAATTATAAAAAAAACACTGTTGTATACTCAAACAACTGACAAAGAGAAGAAAAAAATTCCCTGTGAAAAAGCAAATAAGCAACATATAGGTATATTATAAACATATACACATATTTGTGTACATCATCACACGAAGAAAGGAAGGGGGCACTCGAAGCACACTCTCTCTCACATATATATATATAAACAAACAAACAAACAAACATTTCTAGTTGTGTAACGAGAAAGCAGATGCTGTCGACGACATCGGTACAGTATTATTATTGGTCGTATGACTATGAAACGATGATATGGTAGAGGAAGAAGATGATGATGACGAACAAGAAGAGGAGGAGATAAATTGAGATGAAGACGGTGATGAGGAACAATGATGATGATGATGATTCAATATTGCGCATTGATTTATACAATTACGATTATTTGTCAATAATAATTCATGATTTGTACAAGTTGGTAGAATTTGTAAACTAGTCGATGAGTCTAAATCATCAACAGACAATGGAGTGAAACTAAAACTATGCAAATGATTAGTTGGTAACGTGGAATAACTACTGCTATTATTATCAGTAATGGTAGTAGTTAATCCATTTGTTTGATGACAATAGCTCAATGGTGTTATATTATTGTTTTGTTCGCAACTGACAATACCTCCTACAGAGACACCACTTACTACTCCACTGACTCCGCCACAACTGTTAGGTGTATGAAGAAAGTTAAATGTTGATGAAGTAGAACTACCAACAGGAGTTATTGGAAATGGTGAACCACATACAGAACCATTAACTAGGCTTCGATAAAAATGTTGAGCAACTTGACTTGATGGACCTTAAAGAAAAAAAACCATTAAAAAACAGAACTACATAAATGTGAAGCATAGATAGTAGAAAAAAAGTGGACATGTGCCCATCATCAATCTGGTAGTCTGATTCTGTAATCCAGGAGAAGAGACAACTGCTTGAGATTGGTTGCACATAGCCTTTTCGAGGTAGTTCTTAATTTATCGACTCGATATACGTACCTATGAGGCCTTCCTACCAGCAACGAAGTGAACAATGTGAGATATATTATTTTTACAACCTACTTTTTCTAGACCTCCGTTCCTTACGTTATGTGATGGCAGTATCAGGTGAGGGACAATCATACGCTTAATATACTCAACAATACGATGTCATCCCTTAAACCTTGAATTTGCATCTTTTAGTCTAATTGTCATTCAACCTGGATTCCTCGAACAAGTATCTCAGATAATATAGCCTGATTACATCATCATAACACACTACCTCAACTATACAACATAAAAGTAATAGCTAATAATTACACAGAGTTAGATAGTGGCTATCAGTGCAATCCGAGACGCACCTTTTACCCTGCATCGACAACGGAGAGATTGAAACACTTACAACTGAATTATAGTACATCGTTGTTGCAAATGCCAGTGACTTGTCTAACTAAACTCAAAAAGTCAATAAACAACACAGTGGTCATTTGAATTGAAAGATACTAAGTTCGAGTTCCGATTTGAATATCAACACTATTAAGTTGCAGTAACATCTAGAAATTTTAGTCTTAAAAATAAAACAAAACACAATTCGTTGATTCCATTACTAAACACTATCGAATTCAGGTAGGTTATAAGTGTAAATGGTAAATATCCAATTGATCCATTCAGAATGTAGACTATCACATAACAATCATGGGAAAATTGAAGTCCGTCCAACTCTACTACTACTTCATTAATGAATAATATTTTATCATGAAAAGAGATAGAAATCTTAGTGATTAGTTTATAATAACAATTATCATGTAATATATATATATATATATATATCTCCATATCTATAATCTTAAGGCATGACTCAGAATTACATTCCATATGACTTATACAATTTACATTGCATATTTAGTTTATTCATCTTACACATCGTTTTATGAGTTTCTATGTGTTATATATGGATGTATTTTTGTCTGCTGTTTCCATTCCATCTACCTACCTACCTACCTACCTACTTACCTACCTTCAGAACACGTACTGCTTTTTTGCTTTCTTTCTTTCTTTCTACATTACATTCATATATCAATCATATAGCAGTAAATAAATGGATTCTTATAAGATTTTCTACTCACATGTTTATACATGTAATGTTATAATATGTGTATATATATTTATGATAAATTCAATAATATTATATCACCACCCCTACTAGAGGTGAACCCTCTCTCTCTCTCCCTCTCTGTCATGAAATGTTCATCGATTAATGGTGTGATTACTAATGAAAAAAAAGATGTAGACTAACTCATTGTTGTCATAGGAACTTATTATTTGAATGTTATTTTTTTAAGAAAAAAAAAACAAACTTAGGTGCCTTTGTGTTCCTGTGTCTATGTGAACTCTCCCTCCAATCACAACCACACACACACACACATACACACACAAATATATATGTGTGTACCAATCAATCATACTAATCTAGTTGTTTCATTATTTTTCTCTCATCTGTTAAATTTTTTTCTGTTGTTGAAAACTTCGTATGATACTTTAATGCTGTTAATAATTAAAGTAATTTACCAATTACGAATGAACTGATGTGATTTTTTTTCTTTTTTTTTCAGAGAAAAACAAAACCCAATAACAATAGTCTCCAAACAATGAAGATACCAAGAGAAGAGATTAGAATGCAGAGAGAGAGAGAGAGAGGAGGAGAAGAAGAAGAAGAAGAAGAAGAAGAAGAAGAAGATTATGATATTCAGCAAAGATTAAATTGGAATGAAAACAAATTTGTATAGAGTAAAACAAAACATGACCTTGGGAAATATACGAAAGTTAGAAAGCTGATGATGATAACCAATCAGAAAACAGTAATTGTTATACAGAAACATAAATGAGATGAAATCATCACGGGATTGTCATTACAGAGAAGCCGTGATCAGTGGAGCTAATCCGTGTCAGGTAGAGACAGGTATCGATCTCAGTACAATGGAAGATGGTCGCGTAATTACGTGGATTGGTTGAAATAAGACATTAACACCAATGGATGCCGGTTCAGTGGTCGAGAAGTTAAGCGTTTGCGTGCGAGACCGAAGGTCCTGGGTTAGAAATAATTTTAAAACTGAAAATTTAAGAAGAAAGAATAAGTGTCGTGAACACGTCTTTATCAACATCTCCAACCATTTCTTACAATAAACACGTGGATTGTCCAACCCTTCCCAACTACATAAACTATACAGTTATATAATACACCCTTGTAGGCTGAGGTAATTTTACATTGGTTTCCAGGAGAACCGGGCACTATCCAGACTTTCACGTGACAACCAGAACAGAGCAAGGGGGCACCAGGTAATACATACGAGTCATACAAATCTCATTTGATTTGTGTGAGGGCTGTGATACTGCCCGGGTGCCCAGACTTAAGCAGATGGATTTCTTGGGGGGCCACGCCCAGAGCCTTCGACCTAAAGGTCTGATACAAAAGGCAGTGGAGCAACGTCAGGGGACGCAGTCCCATGGTAGCCGGTCACCAACGATTGGTTCATGCCCCATTTGTTCTTTCAGGATACGGGAGTCCATATGAACCATTAGTTCGGAATCAGGGTTTTCCAACTCCTTTAGGTGGACTCTCCGTATCCACCAACCCAGTTAAAGCGCCGGACATTCGCTTTTCGTCCTATCAATTTCGTAAACGACACCCCCGCCACGAGAAGGCAGTGAGTAGGACTTCCCTGGTAGAGGCTATATACGCCATGTGAGAGCATTTCGAGAGGGAGAGTGGACTCTCCCCATCCAGACTTTCACGTGACAACCTAGACAATATAGTTTAACAGGAGAGCCAGACACTACACAGGCTTAAAATTTGTAGCCCGAATAGTACGGCTCAATCCTGATTTACAGGAGAACCAGACATCATATATGCTTTAACGCTACAATCTGAATAGTACAACTCAATCCTATGGTGCAACCACACAGGTATCAAGCACCCTGGTGGACCATTCGCACCATTTATATACACATTCACATCACATGTTCTAGTTTATTTGTTACAAAAACTATAACCTAATGTTAATATTTATGACATACAATGAAAAAAATAATTATATAATATTCACTTACGACTAGCACGACTACCTGTACGTGATTGTTGCATTCCATATTGTTGAGCCATGTTAGCAAGCATATCAATCAACTCTTGACTAATCTGAAAATTGACAAAAAAAAGTTGTTTTTTTTTAGAAAAAAAATTATATTCAATTACATCGGAATTTTCTTTTACTGGTTTAATACATTTCATCAATGAATCAAATGAATAGAAATTCTTGAACATGAAGAATATTATTAAGTGATTATTTCGTTGTAAGATATTTGGACATTAGACAATGAACAATAAAAACGAACTTCAATGAGATGATGCAAAGATCAAAGCTGAATAATTATGGCAAATCTGGAAGTGTTATACATCCATTTCATTCTCCTTACAAATTCCTTCAACCTAGAACAGAACGTATGACATTCAATGTTTGATGCGAATGCCTAAGCCTAAGTTCAATCCATCCGCAATATTATGAGACCATCTTCTACTGTATTCCGTGAGTACATTCCGCATATATAATAGGATTGAACTTCAATAGTCTAGAGATTAAAGATTCGTTAAAGAAACCAAAGGTCCATAGTCTGATTCTCAATGAAGTGGTTGTGGATGTGCATTGTTGAAGAGTCCTATACTATGACAAAATGAATATCCTTTATCAATGAACTATTTTAATTGGCCCAATATGTTCAAGTGAATGATATTTTACAGTAACACTTATACAAGAACTATCATTCGAAATCATTGATTTGCTTTCATAAAGTACAAAAAAACAGTACTAGGTTAAACCATAAAATTACTATGATCTGTTGATATAAAACAGATGACAGAATTTGAAGTAACCCAAATACAATCAACACATATCTTCGTCAATCAATATAACTAAGAATGTTTCTTTGAAAACCAACCACTTGAGTTCATATAATACTTAAGGCTTTCATTTATACTTTGTGTTTTTTGAGCAGAGAGACTAATGCCCGCGAGCAAGCGAACACAGAGACGAATTCAGAGTCAAATCGAATCAAGGTGCAGCTAGATAAGGCAAAGGCAATTATTAACAATCCAGTACATATATTTATATGGGAAAGAGAATGATTCATCAAGAGATATTGAAGCAATTTAACATTTAAGGTAGGTTGAAGGATATGTGCGTAGGCTGTCAAATGTGATTAAGAATACATGTTTATACAAACACGATAGTGATCATTAAATAATACAAATAAATAGAAACATTGTTACTATCCGAATAACACTGTCAGTTAAATAAGTTAAATGAAGGATTTGACCATAAACAAAATTAATTGTAAGAGAGTTGCTATGATTTAAGATACATGTCTGTGAATTTGTGGATCATCAGTTTTTTGTAATATTCAACTTGAATCCAGTATTAAGTATTTTCTGGCAATTCCCTGTTTTCAAAAATTTGTGGAGATTTTAAAAATTTCACAGATTGAAATCATGAGTCGATTGAAGCTAGACCACCATGGAAAACCTGAAAGCACTGGACGGCCGTCTCGTCCCAGTATGGGACTCCCCAGAAGTGTGCAACCACGATCCCGCACCCCGCGAGATTCGAACCAAAGGCCTAACAGTCTCGCGCCAAGCGCTTAGCCAAATAGACCACTGAGCCGGCATCGTGGATGCGCACTGCTGAAGAGCCCCATACTAAGACGAAACGGCCGTCCAGTGCTTCCAGGTTTTCCATGGTAGTGCAGCTTCAATTGACTCATGATTTCAATCTGTGAAATTACCTGTTTATTTATTATCAAAGTGCCGCGTACAAATATAACACCATGATTTTCACCGAACATTTCAAGTTCTAACTTTCATTTAAGTTGTGTATTTTTTTTCTTTTCATTCAAAAAGTTGGAATCTGTTACAGTGGTGTAGGGTGTTCATCGAAGACATACCTAGATAATTCTAGATTAGAATCAAATGTTTAGTGAAAATTACACACTATACGCAACATTCACTAACTTAATGAACGGGAAAAATGCTTGGGAATGCTAGATATTCCATTTTTATTGCACATTGAAAATAGGATAGTTCATCTTACAATTAAATTTCACAGTTCATATTACAGCCTCATTTTTGTTAAACAACTTGCTTCCAAATGCCCTGAACGACCGAAAGTGGAGACAATCAACTCTTCCTCTCCAAATGTTCTCACATGGCCACGTGCATTCAACGACTGCCAGGGGAGTCCACTCACTGCCTTCTCGTGGCATTACTGTTGTTTACGAAATTGAGAGGACGAAAGCGAATGTCCGTCGCTTCAACAGGGTTGGTGGACACGGACTCTCCACCTAGTGGAGTTGGAAAAGCCTAATTCCAAACCAATGGTGCACATGGACATAAGGATAATAAGGGAACAAATGGCTTATAAACGTATAATTGGTGACCGGCTAACACGAGACTGCGTCTCCTGACGTTGCTCCACTGCCTTGTGGATTAGGCCTTTAGGTCGAAGGCTCCGGGTGTAGACCCCTAAGAAAACCACCTGTTTCGGTTTGGGCACCCGGACAGTGTCACAGCCCTCACACAAATCATTCGATTTGTGTGGCGCATATCTGTTTGTTGCTTTCTTGTATCTATGTTTATGTGTTTAAATAAATATGAATTCCGCAATAATGTGAATCTATAAATTTACCGGAAGTCCCAAGTCCAATACATCTTGATGATTTTCAATAATAGTGTAACCAAAACCGGTCTATGATGAAAATTATGTAAGTCGTGTATCGTCAACAACAACAACAACAACACAAACCATTCCTAATACAATAAATAAATTTAACTTACTCCTGAAGCCGGTGAATTACGAAGTAGAGTAGCCAATTCATGCATTGATGATTCTTGAGGAGATGAATCTTTCCTGCTCAAACTGTATTCACCAATGTTGTTATTAATGTTATTATTATCATCATCATCATCATTCATAGTACAATTAACATTAGGTGATAATTTAGGAATAATGTCTAATGTTGCATGATCATCAGTAAATGAATTGATTTCATTCCGTAATGAAACTGTTGATGTTGTTGTTCTTACCATTGGTCCTGATAAAGGTGTCAAAAGTTTTCTTGACGATGATGATAATGATGATGATGATGACATTAATTTAGGCGGTGGTGGAGTCAATGGTTGTTCATCACCAATCCCCATTCTTAATGATTTCCTAGTTATCGATTTATTTGAATAATTCCATTCACTATTACCATTTAATGAATTATTTTTATTAGATTGACCAATATGATTTTGATGTATATTCGTTATAAAATTACCATTAATATGATTATTTTGATGATTATGATTATGATGATGTGAAAATAAATCCACTGAATCTTCATTTAATGCATTAACATCGATATGTGGAAGACTACAAGCTGATACACTTCGTCGTGAATTATTAACTGGAGTTGAACTGAATTGTAAACAAACAAATAAATAAATAAATAATAATAGTAATATAAGCAAAGATGGATAGTGGCTAGCAGTGGGATCCAGGACGCGCGTTTCTTCCTGTTTGGGACTCGTCAGCTGGATGTACCTGCATCTCAGAGTTGATGTTCACTCTGGGACTCGAACTCAGTACCGTTCGCTTCAAACGCCATCGCGTTATCCACTTAGCTACTGAGTCCTGATAGCCACTTGCTTGTGCAATGGGGTGAAGTTTAATTCACTTGATATTGTTTTACTTGAATCCATCTTTGCTTGTAATGCTTGTAAATTAAGGCAATATCGAGGCATACGCACAGTATGCACATATGCCAATAAGAGACTGATCAATTTCAGTCCTAAACCATCAATGGGAAGATTCAAGTAAAACAATATCAAGTGAATAATAATAACAGTTGCTAAGTATTGTTACCAAGGTTTAACTTGATAATTTTAAATAAAGTATTGAATAGAATGTTATAAATAAAAATCATACATTTGTAAATAGTTCAATGAGTAGGAAAAAAAATTAGATGTTCTGATGTTTCGTCTCTCAATGTAAGTCAATTCTTCAAAGAATAAATAACTAAATTGAAGAATATAATGTAATATATATATATTGATTATTTATTGTTTGAAGAAGTGACTTATACTGAGTGACGAAACGTTAGAAAATCTAATTTTTCTTCTACTCATCGTGATATTTACAAATGTATGATTTTTATTTATAATAATAGTTACTGTTTCGAGTAAAGGATACTGAAATTCACGAACCATTAATATGAATTTAAGTAAAATTAGGATTGTTGAATATGTGAACAACTGATCTTAGTTGAGAAATTAATGATAACTCAACCGGGAACAGAATCCAATAACATCAGATTTTACGGCAAATGTTTAACTACTGAAGTGCTTTTTATCTATTTATTTTATTTAAACACATAAGCATTGGTACAAGGAGGCATCAAATAAGTATGTGAAAGCCAGCATACTGCCTGGATGCCCAAACCGAAGCGGATGGTTTTCTTATGGAGCCATGCCCGGAGTCCTCAACCTAAAGATCTAATCCACAAGACAGTGGAGAAACGTAAATATATGTAGCTCATTGGTAGCCGGTGACCAACAATTGGTTCATATAGCAGTTGTTTTCTTAGGTCCTGGAGACGATGCATATCACTGGTTTGGAGTCAGTATTTGTTAGGATATTCGGAAAAATATACTAATAATTATCATGTTAAGTCTAATAGTGTCCTCGGACTCTAAATAGACATTCCCCCATTGGTCAGTATTTATTTCACTTGTTAAATATTGTGCAAATGTTGTTTTCTATTTTATGGTACGATGTGGTCTGGTTGATTGGTATATAAACATAGTATGTTTGAAATATAACGATTCATATCTCAGAGGCTGAGACTTGTGTTCTGGACTCAACTGGCTGGGCTAGACAGCGAAGCAGGGCCAGTCGGAACTCTACGTCGTTCGTGTGTGTTTTACGTGTCATTGATCCGGTCGATAAATACGCTGCCCATCTAATCTGCAGTCACACGCCACAACAGTATTTTCCAACTCCCCTAAGTAGATCCTCCGTATCAACTAAAGTCATTAAAACAGTGTCCGAATAGTGTTCGAACCTCGTGAGGTGGGATTGTAGATGCACACCGCTGAAGAGTCTTACACAACAGGATGAAACAGCTATCCAATGCTACCACCAGATTTTCCATGATGGTCTATCTTTAATTGACTCATAATCTCAACTATTGAAATTTAGATATCAACTCATAATATACAATAATGAATTTAAAGGTCATGAAGAGGGAAGTATAAACACGTATGTACATAAAAACAACCAAGCATACCTGAACTTTATATCATAGATACAACTAATTAAATTAACTAAATAGTTTGTAAAAAAAAATTTTTTTTTCAATTATATGTAGAAATCTGTACATAAATAGAAAGAAAAAAATATAACTAATTTCCTGTGTGGGTTGATGCAAGGAAATAGTTTGACCATTCGATGCAGAAAAAAAAGGGAGAGAAAGAGGGAGGGGGGAAATACCGAATCAATAGATTCATAATGATATCAGTAAAGTGTTCAATTACTTGGAGTGGAGGAATGGGGGGAAAAGAAGAAAGACACAAATAACAATAGGGATAATTCAAAAATAGTTAGGATCTATGATAATTCACTTCAATTAAGAATTACACTAACAATCTACCATTCCTAATGGAAGAGTAATAAGGGATACACATGAGTAAATATAATAATAATATTAATAGTAATGATAATAATAATATTATTAATACATTATTCTATCTTATTCCATTTACACAGAAAAATGCATAAAAAGTATTAGAGAAAGAAAAAAGATCAAAGCATTTAGATAAATTCAAATGTGTATAATACTTTAGTGTAACAGTAGTAATAAAGCATAATGGTAGCTATTAGTGGTTAAACTATAACCTTGATAATAATTAAAATTTATAATTATTTCGATATTTGATAAATTAGGAAGGTTTGTTTTATTTAATTCGATTATCATAATTGACTATATATATATATATATATATATATATATATATATATATATACTCACTGACTCGTTAATCAAAGATGGTTTACAAAATTCAGAGGGTAAAAACTGAATATTCGACGATTAAATTGAGTTGCTACGTAAAAAGAATTCATCTAGGTAAATTGATAAAACCTAATACCTTAGAAACAATGCTCGCATCTGTTAGAACCACCGGGTAAGTGATGGTGAGATTAGACGACAGGGTATTAGGCAATGATGGTAAATCAGTTGATGAGGTTGTGAATCTTCATCGACTGAGATGGTTGAGCCACGTGGTACGTATGCCTGAACACTGGTTACCACGATGCGCAATGTTGACTAGTGTAGGGGATGGTTGGTAGAAAGTTAGAGGCGACCAAACCAAAAACGTGGCATCAGTGCTTGAAGTCGCTGACTTCTAGTCTGAGCTATGTTAGTAGATGTAGACTAATTGGTTGAGGTGACATGGCTCAGAATCTATCACAATAGTGTAGGTGTGTACACTCTTTGTCTTCCCTTAAACTATGAGATTAAAATCGCTTCAAACAGACACCCAACTCTGATAAATCTATGAGATACTATTTAACATTATGAATTACATTTTATTATTGATCTCTTCTCTGGGTTTTACTGTGTGCATTGCTTCTACTTGTGTTTACGAGACTATAACCTTACCTATAATCTGGATCTTAGTTTTCAGTAGTGAGTATCATGGTCCAGTGTGCCCAGTTGTATTGTCCAGTTTAACCTAGTACTGTCGTACATTCGTATTGAGTCTAGATCTGTTTGTTGTTTTTGCCTTCATAACAGTAACAAACTATTTGGTTTTATGAAATTAAATCCAGAATGTTTGTGGACAAATCAAAACTTGGCAGTAGTTCATGAAGTCATTAAATGTTGGTCTGTGTCATGTTAGTAATCGAAAACTGCCTCGTTAGAGGGTCTGCACCATCAGTGATATAGTTCAGAATTGTTCACAATGTCACAGATGTATCGGCGAGACTATAATTTATGGACGAACCAATCAGATATAAGATAACAGGTTTCGAATTTTGGCGCGAAATTCACTCATCCATTTCGTTTAATAGAGTTTTAACATTTAAACTGATGTGATGAAAACATTAAATTAAAGTCCTAACCTTAACAATCAACTATAAATCATAATTCTAATTTCTTACACTGATTTATAACCCTCATTTATTCCTAGTTATTAGATGAACACTCGCAAGATCACTTTAGCGTCGCTCAAAGGTCGTCCATAAATTATAGTCTCACCAATGTATCCACTTCTTATCTTCGTGTCAATCTTGAGTTCCAGTATTCCTTCATGTATACCTTCTCATCCTATCTTTTTAAACCATATTCCTAAAGATTTAGTCTTTCTTTTTATCTTTACTGTTACAATATTTCGATCTTTGTTTTTTTGTTATTTTCATATCGTTGTACTAACTAGGTACAATAACTTGGGCTCAGACTCCTTGTTGATAATAATGTCATAGAATTCGGAGCTCATTAATGAAATAAAACATTTAAGTATGGTATAACAAAATTCTATATCACATAGATATATTGTAGTATTCTGTTATGTTTCCTAGAATGAATAAACAACAATGGTATTGTGTGTTAAAATGACCTTGAAGAAAAACAAACAAAAGGGTAAACAGAATAGAATAATGCGCCCACTACCACTAATAATAATAATAATACCACTGGATATGGTTTATCAACAGACTACAGATAATTAACCTTTCATTGTGCTAAAAATACAATTTGCAAGAAAAAAATGTATATACAAATACTGTGATAAACCGTAACAGAAATACTTTGATTATAGTTCATGCAATTGGTGCCTAGTAGCAGTAGTAGTAGTAGTATTAGTATTAGTATTAGTATTAGTAGTAGTAGTAGTAGTAGTAATTATAATAATAATAATAATAGTAATAATAATAATAATAGTGAAACATGGGAAAATGTTTAGGGAAAGTCCCAGAGAAACAACCTTTTGAAAGAAAAAAGTACCTATCTTTATTCATCTTATATTCAAAAATGAAGAGATTTCGAGTGGGATCGATAAAAGGATTCAAGCAGAACTAAAAAAAAATAGTATCTTTACAGTTCAATGGTGTAGGTGTATACACTCTTTGTCTTCCCCTAAACTATGAGATTAAAATCGCTTCAGATCTTTCTTTCTACCAACTAATTCTTTCTTCCTGTACTATATCCTTATATGCAATCTTTCATTTATATATTACACAATTGATTTAACTACTTCTATGACTCCGGTGTTCGTCTTAATGTGCTTAAGCGGTATAGCAACTTGGATCGATGCATATATTTGCCTGGTCCTACATTGTAACTGACTGACTGACTTTAAATCAATCGAAAGTGGATTAATAACCGTTTAAGGATATCTCTAAATGTAATTACGAATTTATATGTACTTTTGAAAACAAGTACATAACGGGGAATGACAGAAAGGTATCTATCTCTACAAGGTTTTCTGAACATATTCCTCGAAAGTTGTGTTTGAAAGAAAATGAAGCATTCATAAGTGTGACCACGAGACATTTAATTGAAAATGAACACAAAGTGAACATTACCATCAAGACTTTATTATGAAGAAAGAATGTACAATAAACTTCATTCATTACCATGGAAAGATAGTTATATAAACTATCTTAACTATTATGTCGTTTCGAACTGAACTTTTTTAATTCAGTCAATCATCTACAATGTAGGAGACCAGGTACATACATGCATCGGTCCAAGTTACCACACCTCATTACCAGAACAAGATGAACACCAAATTCATAGAATCAGTTATTTCAATAATAGTGTGTATACCTACACCATTGTGATCGATTCTGTACCATGTCACCAAGAGTCTCCAACCATTGGTTACGATAGTTACACGGACCCTAACCAAGTGGTTTGCATCTACCACAATGGTTCAGACTAAGGTTTATAATAAAACATTTTTATAATCATATTACTAATGTGAATTGAAATTGATGAGAAGCTTGAAAATACATTGAATCCATGTTATTCTGTAAATTCTGTTCTTCTCACTTTATTTAAAATTAGAATAGGTCAAAGTATGATATACTGACGACCTTTAGTTGACCAATCAGAATTAAGATAACACTTGAGCTGTTTTGTGCGAAATTTAAGGTACACTGATAGATAAAATGTACTTTATTATTAACCAAATGAAAATTGGTGCTTGAGATGTTTTAAATCAATAAAAATATCTATTATGCTACCAATGAAGTAAATAATAGATCCTAAACATAAACACAAATCCGGTGTTCATCTTGTTGTGTTAATGAGGTATGGCAACTTGAACCGATGCATACATGTGCCTGGTCCTACGTTGTAGCTGACTGACTGACTGACTGAAACATAACATGCCTACTCCTAAGGCACATATAGTCTGTTAAAGTACTTGATGTGGTTTACTGAATAATTAAGTGTTTTGATGAAGCTAGATCATATTCTCCCTTTTCTAACTCTTATTCTACATCTGAAACCTTAAGTTTCACAAATTTGTAAACAGAAGAAAAATGACAAAGCATGGATTTATAGTGGATTTCAGTTCATGATGAAAATCCTGACCTAAATTTGTAAACCTAACTCGAATTCGTGACCAAAACTTTATAGGGTGACAACCTTAACTTACAATAGTAATCTGACTAGTAATAAGTATGTACACACATATGTAAACTTGACCCTTTTTCTAACTACGAAGGATAATTTGACGTAAAAGTGTTAATTATTTAAATCAAAGCTGTCATTATTCCACTATTAGGTGTTTAGTAACTAGACAGTCTTCGAATTGGCTGATAGGTTACCACCCAACGTCGCCGCAGCATATACTTTTACCTAATAATAATAATAATGTTGATCAATAAATAAACCCAATCCACCGGTGAAATCCCAATCATCTTCAGTTGGGCAACACTCAGATTTCAAAATAAAGCAATATAATTTATGAACCGACACAAAATAACAAAAATATTCATCATTCTAACAGTGTGTTAATACTCTTTCTGTGAATATAATGTATTAAACAAATGAGAAGCATTATGGTGAAGTGAGCGCGAGGACACTGAATCCATTAAAATCAAGGTGGATGGAATAGAACTTGGATCTAAGACTGACAGGTTGTTCATTGAATGGTTTACTCAGTGACATATGATTTAATTAGCTAACTTGATACGTTAAAAGATATGTAAATATCTAAAGTTCTACAGAATGCTAATTACACCTTGAAAACCTCTCCGTCTCAGACTGTGAATTAAAGTACGTTCAAGTTTAAATAGTAAAACGTAGTATTAGATCTATCACGATTAAAAATATTCCGATAAAATTAACCAATAATCACGACCATACACACGATTATATGTTTACTAATGAACAAACTCTATTCTTGGAAGCCTAGTGAGGAGAGAGGTCCAGTAAAATTCAATTGTTTCAAGATTCAGATAAATCTCAATTTTCCAAATAAATGATAACGTAAACTATTGTTTGAATCTTCAATGTTCGCCACAAAGCCTGAATATTCTGGTTTTTAATCGTTGGTGATGGGTGGGTCGTGGATGTGAACCATCATTAAGGTATCTAATACTTCAACGTAACAACTGGTTAATGCTTTCTTATTTTCATTAGTTATCAAACTATAGTCACTTAATGAAATAAATATACAAAAGGACGATTTACTTTTTTTCTACAATAAAAGTAGACGGAGGGAAACAATCAATTGCTTGTCATTTTTTCTGCTTATAGAACTTACCTCTCCATCATTAATGGTGATTCACTGACATTCGCTAAAGCAGCAACAATTGCAGCTATCACACGTCTTCCATTTGGACTAGCACTACCAATCTCATCAGAATTTAGTAAATCTTGTCGATTATTAATATTACTATTATTAGTAGTAGTAGTAGTAATACTACGATTATTGTTGTTATAATTTAACAGAAGCGGATGGATTTGATTGTGGCCAATTTGTGATTTAAATGAATTATGTAAATTCGATGAAGAATATGATGAAAAATTTGATACAGTTGGAGCAGTATTACGTGCAACCATAATATCAACTAATTCTTGATCCATTTCACCTTCATCATCATCATTATCATCATCTTTGTCGACATTACGATCACTGGTATTATGATGTGTCGATGAGAAATTGACATTTGTAGCATTGGTTATTAATTGGTATTTTTCTGAAATTTGTTTTTTTGGTGAATTATTGACTGTCATAGTTGTTGTAAATGATGAAAGACAATGTGAACCGGGATCATCATTTATATAATTTAAACTAGTAGGAGTTAGTTCTGTTGAACTGGGACGACCAACTCTACTATGCACTGGGACTATTAATGTACAGAAAACAAGAAATAAGCACACAATTAATAAAGAGGCAAAAAAAATGATAAGTTCTACGGATATGGACATAAACCAATAAGATGAAAAACAGTAAAGTTTCGGACTTTTCATTCTATAGCCAGCCGGGTTGGGACAATGCTTGTTAGTCATAAGCTATCTTTAGAATGAGCATATACGCACACTGATTCAGGTTTTCACACTGAAATGCAATTATCAAGACAACTGACAGAGTAATCGATGTAGTAACAGTATCAGTGGTAGAACAAAACACTAACCATAGACAATAAGATGAGAGCATTACACCATGGAGTAAAGAGTACAAGATAATCTTAAGAACCAAAATCTAGGGAGGTAGACAAAGAAAGAATGAATACATCTGCGTAATTGTGACTTATTCTGATCTAACATCTCATCCAATGCTTTTAACTATTGGCTGGTTACAAGATAAATGCACTGATCACAATCACATGGTCTGCACTTACCAATATAGATCAGTGCAACAGTTAATGACTTCAGGAACTGATGCCACATCTTGGTCCGGTTGTCCCTAACTTTTTCCAACCTACTCCTATATCAGTCAATATTGCATGTTGAGGTAGGCAGTGGTTGACCGTGCATAAAACATGTCCCAAACCAACCCAATCAGTGAAGATTCCCTATCTCATTAAACGACTTACCATAAGTTAAAATCTTACTGAAAAAAAACGAGATTAAACAAATCAAGCCATTCAAACTCTGCCCTAGGAGTCGAAGGAAGAATTATGACGTCTCGTGATAAAGGAAGTCACGAGACCGATGTCCCTTCTAACAACGAGAGCAAAAACTTATGTAGGCACATGGAACGTCCAGACAATGTGGGAGACTTTAAGGACCAGTCAAATAGCAACGGAAATGAGATAAAAATTGACAGTGCTCGGAATCAGTGAAACCCATTGAACCAAGCTGGACAGCAAAGGATAGATTCCGGAGAGATACTGCTGTACTTAGGGTGAGAATCTCATGGATCCAGGATCACCAAAGCATCGTTTGAAACAAACATGGGAATCACAGTGAATGTTATCCAATGTTATGCACTCACCAATGATAACAACGACGACGATAAAAATCAGTTTTACGACAGGCTGCAATCGATCATAGCGAAGTGACCACGAAAGCATCTGACAATCCTAATGGGAGACCTAAACGCCAAAGTCGGAATGGACAAAACTGGGTATGAAGGTGTCATGGGACAGCATGGAGTGACTGGGAGAAAGGAACGAGTGATGAAAGATTTTCGAATTTATGTGCATTCAACAAAATGGTTATAGACAGAACAATATTCCCCCGCAAACGCATACACAAAGCAAAGCGTGTCTCACCGCATCATACCACGGAGAACCACATAGATTGTATTTGCTTCAGCAAAAAAATTCAGAAAGTTAATGGAAGACATGAGACCAAGGACAGGAGCTGATAAAGCCTCAGATCACCATCTGGTTGTTACTTACTTACTTACGCCTGTTACTCCCAATGGAGTATGAGCCCCTGACCAGCATTCTCCAACCCACTCTGTCCTGCGCCTTCCTTTCTAGTTCTATCCAATTGTTGTTCATTGTTCTCATGTTTTTACAGTTCTCGGCGTAATCTGTTCTTTGTTCTTCCTCTTCTCCTTTGACCTTGCCTTGATGGTTCCAGGTGAGGGCTTGTCTTGTGACGTAGTTGGGTGCTTTCCTCAGTGTGTCCTATTCACTTCCAGCGCTTCTTCCTGATTTCTTCCTCCACTGTAATCTGGTTTGTTCTCTCCTACAGTAGGTTGTTGCTGATAATGTCTGGCCAACGGATCCGAAGTATTTTGTGTAGACAACTGTTAATAAACACCTGTATTTTCTGGATGGTGGCGCTCGTAGTTCTGCAAGTTTCCGCCCCATACAAGAGAACTGTCTTGACATTTGTATATAGAATTCTGACCTTGGTGTTGGTTGGCAGTTGCTTTGATTTCCAGATGTTCTTCAGTTGTAAATATGCTGCTCTTGCTTTGCCGATCCGCGCCTTCACATCTGCATCAGATCCACCCTGTTCATCAATGATGCTGACCAAATATGTAAAGGTTTTTACATCTTCCAAATCTTCTCCGTCAATTGTGATTGGATTGGTGCATGCTGTCTTGTATCGGAGAATCTTGCTTTCCCCTTTGTGTATGTTGAGACTTACTGCTGCTGAGGCTGCTGCTACACTGGTCGTTTTCTCCTGCATTTGTTGTTGCGTTTGGGATAGAAGGGCCAGATCGTCTGCGAAGTCTAGATCATCCAACTGCATCTTAGATGTCCATTGTATCCCGTGTTTCCCTTCAGATGTTGATGTCTTCATGATCCAGTCGATCACCAGGAGAAAGAGAAAGGGTGAGAGTAAGCAACCTTGTCTGACACCGGTCTTCACTTCGAACGAATATGTCAATTGTCCTCCATGCACGATTTTGCAGTTTAATCCATCATAGGAATTTCGTATGATATTGACTATCTTCTGAGGCACGCCGTAGTGTCGAAGAAGTTTCCATAGTGTTGTTCTGTCCACGCTATCAAATGCCTTTTCGTAGTCAATGAAGTTGATGTAAAGTGATGAATTCCATTCAATTGATTGTTCCACAATGATCCGTAGAGTTGCGATTTGATCTGTACACGATCTATCCTTACAGAATCCTGCCTGTTGGTCTCGAAGTTGGGCGTCTACGGAGTCCTTCATTCTGTTTAACAATACCCTGTTGAAGACTTCCCGGTATTGAGAGAAGAGTGATGCCCCTGTAGTTATCACAGTTGCTGAGATCGCCTTTCTTTGGTATTTTGACCAGAGTCCTTCTTTCCAGTCTCGTGGTACTTGTTCCTTATCCCAAATCTTATTGAAGAGAATGTGAAGTATCCTTGCAGTTGCCGCCACGTCTGCTTTCAGTTCCTCTGCTGGAATGTTGTCTGGTCCTGCTGCTTTGCCACTCTTGATTTGTCTAATGGCCATGCTGATTTCTTCAATTGTTGGTAGGTCAACAATCACCTGGTTGTTGCTAAGATGAAACTGAAGCTAAAGAAGCATTGGACAACTGGACTAACAGCATTACAAAGGTTCAATTCAGCCTTCCTTTAACATATTGACAAACTCAACCAATTCAAGATAACTCTCATCAACAGGTTCCAAGCCTTTCCAGATCTACTGAAAGAAGAAACTACTAAGGAGGATAACTGGAAAGGGATAAAAAAAGCGCTAATTTCAACGAGTAGGGAGGTGCTGGGTTGCAAGAAGTATCATCATAAGGAATGGATCTCTATCGGAACTCTAGACGAGATTCGAGAAAGGAAGAACAAGAATACAGCAATTGACAACAGCCGAACAAGAACAGAGAAAGTCAAGGCACAAGCTGAATACATAGAAGCATTAGAGCTGACAAGCAGAAATACGTGAAAGATCTAGCAACGATAGCGTAAAAAACTTCAAAGGAAGGAAGTATGAAACAATTATATGATACAACGAAGAAACTGGCAGGTAAATATGGTAAATCAGAGAGACCGGTCAAGGACAATGAAGGCAAACCAATGTCTGAGATGTAAGAATAGTGGAACAGGTGGGTAGAACAGTTTAAAGAACTGTTAAATAGGCCAACCCTACTGAAGCAATCGAACATCGAAGCATAACACACAGAACTTCCAACAGCTGTCACTCCACCAACGACCGAAGAAATCAGGATGGCCATCGGACAAGTCAAGAGTGGGAAAGCAACAGAACCTAATAATATACCAGATGAAGCACTGTAGTCAAACACAGAAGTAACTGGTAAGATGTTTTACGTTCTATTCAGGAAGGACAAGCGCCGACAGACTAGAAAAGAGGACACCTCATTAATATACGAAAGGAGATCCGAACAAATGTGAGAACTACAGAGGAATCACACTACTATAGGTACCAGGAAAATATTACAACAAAGTGTCGTTGAACTGGATGAAAGATGCAGTAGACGTCAAGTTTCGAGATCAACAGGTTGGATTCCGTGAGGATCGATCGTGCACAGACCAAATTGCAACACTACAGATCATCATCGAACAATTAACTGAATGGAACTCGACAATACATTTACTTCCTTGACTATGAGAAAGCATTCTACAGTGTGGATGGGAAGAATTTATGGAAACTTCTTCGACACTATGGTGTACCTGAGAAAATCGTCAATATCATCCGGAATTCATACGACGGACTACACTGCAAAGTCGTGCGTTGAGGACAGATGCATTCCAAGTGAGGGCCGAAGTCAGACAGGGATGCTTACATTCCTCTTTCTCTTCTTCTGGTGATTGGCTGGATTATTAGGACCTCCACATCTGAGGGGAAGCAAAGAAAATAATGGACAGTTCGAAACCATCTAGACGATTTGAACTCCGTAGATCACCTGATCCTCCTATCCCATACATATGAAGAAATGCAGATGAAGACAACCAGTGTAGCAGAAGTCTCTGCAACAGTAAGCCTTCACAACAAAAAGGGAGAAAACAAGATCCTCAAATACAACATAAAGAACATCAACCCAATCACACTTGATGGAGAAGCTCTGGAATCTTTCACGCGTCTGGGCAGCATCATCGGTGAACAAGGAGGATCTGATGCAGACGTAAAGGAGTGGATTTTCCAAGTAAAAGTTACATTCCTAAAGTTGAAGAAAATATGCAATTCAAAACAACTGTTAACTAACATCAGAGTCACAGTCACCAATACAAACGTCAAGACAGTCCTACTGTATGGAGTTGAAACTACGAGAACTACTACAACTATCATCAGAAAGGTGCAAGTACATCTAAACAATTTTCTACACAAGATGCTCAATGTCCGTTGGCCGGAAACCATCAGAAACATACTACTGTAGGAGAGAACAAATCAGTTTCCAACTGAGGAGGAAATCCAGAAAAAAACGATGAAAGTGGATAGGACACACATTGTGGAAATCACCAAACTGAATCGCGAGGTAAGCGCTTGCCTGGAATCCTGAAGGGGAACGGAAAAGAGGAAAGCCAAATAACACGCTACGTCGAAAATTAGAATCAGACATGAAAAGGATGAATAGCAACTGAAAACAACTGGAAAAGATTGCCCAGGCCAGGGTTGGATGGAGAATGCTAGTAGATGACCTATGCTCCTTCACAAAAGTAAGTAAGTTTCTCACACTTGATGTCAACATAGGAAAGAGAAATCAGTAACGACAGTAGGAAAAGTGAAGTAGTGTTTAGTAAAAAGATGAAAAATGAGGAAAAATAAATGAATTTTTGACAAGTAGATTGAAATGACTTTTTGGGCTATTTTATAGAAAGTTGATGAATACTGAGACAGTAAGAACGATATTTTCACCTATCTACCTATACAGCTCAAATCAATATTCCATGAGTGGTAACCAAACATTGTCCGACGTTATTTCAGTAACAAGTGGCTAGAAAATAAAATGTGCAGATGGATCGTGCTCTGATACGTTATTCACGTACGGAATTATCCAATAAATCTTTCACAACTACAAATAACGAACATAAACACACACACACACAGAGGTAGAGAAATTGTTAACTAACTATAAATTTATTTTCATTTACATAAAATAAACCAATGACTTACCGAATGGTGATTTATGATGTACCATAAAGGTATTCGTTGTCGATTCTGTCGATGATGTTACAGGTGTTGTTGATAAATGTGAATGTGAATCATCAAAATTGCATAATCCGGTTGCTGTTGATGTTGTCAACATTGAGGTGTTGCTAGTTAATGAATTTGATAGAGGATATGACAGTAGGTTTTCATCTAATGAACCATCTATAGTTGGTGTTCTAGCTTCAGGACGTTTTTTCGCCGGTTGCCGAGGTGTTGACTTCCCACTAGATGAGTAATTGGAACTACTCATCCAAGATATTGTTGTATTAATATTATTGTTATTAGTAGTTGTATTTAATGTATTGTTAACAGAAGATGGATATATATGTAAGCCATTCACTGAACCACTATTGACTATTAACCCAAGATACGGTTGTGAACAAAGGAATGTGCCATCTTTATTTAAATTACAATGACGTTGTTGTTGTTGCATAGTAGTGCACGATTGAAGTAGAAATGGTGATGATGAATGATCGTCATCGCCGTCATCATCGTTCTCTTCTTCTTCGCCTTCTTGATGTTGTCGTTGGAATAATGATTGGTCAGAATGGAAATGATGATGATGATGATGAAGCATTGACTGATCTTGATCATTCTTAATAGATCGTGATACAAGAGAGTTAGGAGAAGAATGAGGTAATAGACTATTCGAAGTAGAGATAACCATCGAAGTCGTAGCAGTAGTATTACTAGTAATAGTAGCATTAGTAGGAGTATTAATAATATTAGCACATTGAAGTGATCTAGATAAGGCAGAAGTATTATCATGCATAGAAAAAGTATAAAATGCACTTGAAGTATTATTATTAATATTGGCACATGTCGAACTAACAGGATTATTTGAGATCAATGATGAAATATTCCCATTGGTTAATAATGTTGAATCTGATGGTCGACGAATTTGTGGATGAATTTGTGAAATTCGAGTATTATTATTAGTAGTAGTATTAGTATTAGTATTATTATTACTACTATTACTATTATTACTAAATGGTATTCCAGATATAAGTAAAGGTGGACTTGATGAAGAATGTAAATGATATGAATTTTTTGCTGGTGATGATGGAAATGAACTAGGTGATACTGGTCTTGGTCGTTTTAAACTATAACGTTCAGATTTTAATAGAATTCCATTATGATCTTTTGAATAGATCATTGAATCATTATTATTAGATTGAATTGAATGATTTCTATTTGTAGAGCATATTAATGTTGAATGATTGAAATCATTTATTGAATGTTGATATATAGGTGATGGTTGTTTAGTATAATTAATTGTATTCAATGAAAAATTATTAATTGTAGTTGTTATGGTTAATGATTCATGTAATGGATCTAATTTATGAGATTTATGATAACCACCATAGGATAGATATGAATTTGGCTAAGATTATACAATGAGAAAAATAAACAGTAATAATAATAATTAATTTCATGTAAAATGTTAATTTAGAAAATGAGATCAAATTTTAGTTATTCAATATGATAATATTAAGATCAAAGTATTGATTGAGTATCATTGTGATATGGGTTACTTATATCCGCATAAGTAGTATATAACGATGGTCAGGAAAATAGAATGTATTTTAGTAGATCAATAAGGAAAGAACGAGAATGGAACGTAATTGGTATGAAAATGCATGGAAAAATGAAATCTGAGACAATGGACTGATATTTACAAAAAAGAAACAGTCAAATTTGAGACAATGGATTGATATTTTGCAAATTAACTATTTACCATGTGGTTCTCAGATTTTAATGAGATATTTTGTAATTTTGCGCTCAAATACATCCGACTGCCCCTACTCGTGTTCTTGTTCGCGACACCTTCATTAATGGTAACATGGTTACATGTCACCTGACTTTTAAGCAATAAATTATAGGTGGCTACTAATTAGGGCTCAGTAGATAAGTGGAGGAAGCGAACAGTACTTATTGGGTTCGAGTCCCAGAGTGAATATCAACTATGAGTTCCAGGTATATTTAGGTGACGAGTCCCAAATAGGACGTAACGTACATCCTAAATCCCACTGCTAGTCACTATCCATCTTTGTTTATAAAGCTTGTGACATATGCCATATTCAGTCCGAAATAACAGTGAAAAGATACACGTTAACAACATCAAGTGAAGATATGTGTTATGTCGGAAGAAAACAACATGTTGTTTTCTTGTAATGTACTGTATCGAATTCCGTGTGATAAGGTCGTGATTACAGTAAACCAGTTGTATGGTATATGTTTCCTTTTTTTTAGGTAGATTATCGATTAGTTCATTTATATTCCTAGTAGGATTGGTGAGCTACTATTTACCAAATGATAGATTGATCAATCAAAACGTTAATGTTTACCAGTCCTCAAGCTCCTTCTAACCAGGTGAACAATCAGAAAACGAAGATAAAAACATATCACCTCTTCTATTATACTCAATTCAATTATGGCTCCAAACTCAAACAATAATATATATATGAAATTTCTGAACACATAGTAACACAATTAAGGAAGGAAAAAAGATGAAGAACTGACCATTAAACACCATAGCAAGAATTAGATAACTGTTTGACTTAAATGTGTTACAACCAACAATTATATTTTCATTTCTTATGGATAAGAAATAACATCAGTAGTGGAATGTCTTTTAAGGTCAGCTATTGCTTTATTATGATGAATGGATTGGTGAGGCAGTAAAATTTCACTGATTGATGTGGTGCATTACATATATCTTATTATCGCCTACATCAATATGCAGTGTTCACTGATGATGTAAAAGTAGGTTTGAAGAAAGTTAGAAATTATAAAACCAAAATATAGCGTCAGTCTATGTAATTATCGACGGCATGTGTGTCTATCTTGTATATTTATTTGATTAAACACATAAACATTGGTAGAAGGAATCATCAAATAGATATGCGCCAGATAAATCATTCGACTCGCATGAGGCCTGGGATACTGCCAGTACGCCCAAATCGAAGCAGGTGATTCTCTTAGCGAGCCACACCCAGAGCCTTTGATCTAAAGGTCTAATCCACAAGGCAGTGGAGCAACGTCAGGGAGATGCAGTCCCATGGTGGCCGGTGACTAACAATAGTTTCATACGTCATTTGTTTCTTGAGGTTCCTGGAGTTCATGTGCACCATTGGTTTGGAATCAGTATTTCCCAACTCCGCTATGTGGACTCTTCATGTTCACCAACCTGGTTAAAGCGATGAACATTCTCTTTTCGTCCGGTCAATTTCGTACATAACAGTAATGCCACGAGAAAGCAATAAGTAGGACATCTCTGACAGTGTTTGTATGCATGTGGCCATGTGAGAGGATTTCGAGAGAGAGAGAGAGGGAGGGTTGACTCTCCCCACCCTCTGTCATATCAGGGCATTTGGGGGTCCAAACTATCTACCGTGATTAGTAGTTGAAAACATTAAGTAATATAACTAAAGAATTGGTCTCAACATCGTAGAATGCGTTGTATTAATTGACAACATGAGAAGTTTTAATCTTATTCTATATAATATGAACTATTGTTGATTACATAATGAAAAATGATCATAAGTGATGGAATCACAAACAATAAACTATCATATTGGAAAGTGATATTCAATGATACCTATTTATCACATTATTGTTTAATAAGAAAATAATAATGAATAATTTACAAGGCAAAAGAAACAAACAAAATATTTTTTTGTTTTGTTTTGTTTGTTTCTAGGAGAAAAAGAAGAAGAGAGAGAAAGAGAAAAACAAGAAGTAGAAATTCCAGACAAGAACCTTGAACTTATTCTAATATGATGCATAGTTGAAATGAATACATAGTCAATAAGTTAATTAATATTAGCTAATAGTAAAATGTAGAAATATGATCAGCTTTTTTTATTATCATTATAATTATTATTATATTCTTACTAACAGCAATGTGTTTTAGAATAAATTACACGTATACATATATATATGTGTGTGTTTTAAGATCTTTGATAAACCAGTAGTGTAAATCCAGTCAGTCAGTTACAGTGCAGGACTTGGCACATATATGCATCGGTCCAAGTTGCCACACCTCAATTAGCACAGCAAGACGAACACCGGATTCATAGAAGCAGTCAAATCAATGGTGTAATATATAAATGAAAGATTGTACACAAGGATATAGTACAAGAAGAAATAATCAGTACGTAGAAAGATATGCAGCGATTTAAATGCATATTAGTACAAGGGAGAATCAAATGTACACACACCTCACAAATCATTTGATATGTGTGATGGCTGGGATACTTCCTGGACACCCAAACTAAAGCAGGTGGTTTTCTTAGTGAGTCACTCCTTGAACCTTTGATCCAGACGTATAATCCACATGACAGTGGAGTAACGTTAGAAGATGCGGATCCATGGTATCTGGTACACAAGAATGGGTTTATACACCATTTGTTCTTTTAGGATCATGAAACCGAAATGCGCCATTGGCTTGGTATTCAGTCAGTCAGCTACAACGTAGAACCAGGCACATATATGCATCCATCCAAGTTGCCACACCTCAATTAGCACAGCAAGACGAAAACCGGATTCATAGAGGCAGTTAACTCAACGGTGTAATATATAAAGGAAAGATTGCATATAAGGATATAGTACAAGAAGAAAGAATTAGTACGTAGAAAGGTTTGAAACGATCTTAATCTCATAGTTTAAGGGAAGACAAAGAGTGTACACACCTACACTATTGTGGTGGATTCTGAGCCATGTCACCTCAACCAATTAGTCTACATCTACTAACATAGCTCAGACTAGAAGTCAGCGACTTCAAGCACTGATGCCACGTTTTGGGTTTGGTCGCCTCTAACTTTCTACCAACCGTCCCCTACACTAGTCAACATTGCGCGTCGTGGTAACCAGTGTTCGGGCATACGTAACACGTGGCCCAACCATCTCAGTCGATGAAGATTCACAACCTCATCAACTGATTTACCATCATTCCCTAATACCCTGCCGTCTAACCTCGCTATTACTTACTCGATGATCCCAGATGAGAGTGTATATTAACTAAAAGGGAGAATGATGTGTAAATCTATTTTGATCATTCATGCAATAAACAAAACAAAAGCACATAATGTATATAAAAACAACTATATTGGCCGGAAGAAATGTCTCTTAGTTGAATTCGTACCACTAGTTGTAGAGAAGCATGATTGTAGTAAGGTTTTTCTTTTAGATAGCCGTTATTCAAAGAGATCCTGCCATCCCATAACATAAGGGAGGAGTTGAAAAAGCATGCCACATCTTACTTCACGGATTTCCGTCTCCGATTGTAAGGACTTTTGATGTACGACACTTACATATTTGACAATACTCACAAAAAGACCACATGTCAGCCAGCTACAACGTAGAACCAGGCATATATATACACATATGCATCGGTCTAAGTTTTCATACCTCATTAGAACAACAAGATGAAAACCAAATTCATAGAAGTAGTTACTTCAATGGTGTAATATATAAAAGAAAGACTGTGTATAAGGATATAATACAGGAAGCAAGTTTAACCTCACAGTTTAAGAGAAGACAAAGAGTGTATACACCTACGCCATTGTGATCGATTCTGAGCCATGTCATCCAGAGTCTCCAACTATTGGTTACGATAGTCACGCGGACCACAACCATATGTGATCAACCTTAAAAAGTTGTCTCTCGAACTTTGTGACCACGCTCCTAGGTCGTCAAGATCACCTGTAATCCATTATCCTTTCCAGGTATCACAAGAGGAAGAATCTTTCCATGATGCAAGCAGTCTGTAAGCAATAATTGCCCTCATACCTCTAATAGCACTCGAAATTACTTAGTTTGACATCTACTGAGATACAAACTCAGCCGAGAAATCATTAAAACAAACAAAATTATGAATCCTTACAGTATACTGATTAGACTATATTGAAGATCTTCAGTATACCTGATTAGTGTTTAACCCTTTGGAATGTGTCCCGTAACAAAATAAGCGACAGAGTTTGTCATGGATATGGTCGCAGGGTTTAGTAACACTAATTACAGTGACCGACCGCTGAATCCTACGTTTATTTATAACTACTTTGTGCTAATAGTCCAGGTGATTTGGCATCGAGTGTAATATTCCATGATGTTAGATGGTTGGAGGCAATCGACAGACAGCTATGGATTTACTAAAAAGATCTGAAATTATGTAGCCCTTTTCGTTTTGATCAATAAACGATAACTCTGATGCATACGGAATTTAATTGGAGCGTTTTTTCAGCTTATTCCACTAGCCTTGACTGCTACCTAATCGGTTGTTTTAGCTTTTAGGTCGCAGATTCTATCAAGTTCATAACTATCGCGATATAAACAGAGACGTATTATGGAAATTTCGACTTCGAACATCAAGCCTTTGTCTGACTTCTCTATGATCCTTTGAGTGGGAGACTATCATTGAAGTGTTGCGTATCAGCTGTCCAGTCGATCTAGTTTGCACATATCCCGTCTTCATATTGGGAAGATCTCACAACGTTTTACAAACAAATTTATCGTAAACTATCTCAAAAGTTAATAGGAGCCGTACTTCATGCTAGTCGGAACTTATTACACCATTAAGGTATGTATGGGATTCAAGACCAATCTATATGCTTTTTGCTGAAGAAGCCAGACTAGAACGTAATCTGGTTATTTCTGTTTTCGTGCTAACCGACTCCGACGAGATATGAGGAATATGTGTATCGTATTTCAAAATCCTTCTACTAGTTTACATTACAGGAAATAAAAAAAATAATGATGAATAACAAATATATCACTGAGTGCTGGTAATTATAAGAAATTAACAGTAAGTACTGAACTACTGAATATATATATAACAGCTTGTAATACATGAAAGGCTTACAAATGAATTGGCGCGGTTCAAATTCATCGATCCCGTTGTTATTGTTGTTGTCATTGTAGTTGTAGTTTCAGATTTCTGTAAAGCATCTTTAATAACTGGAACCAGATCGATTAAGTCACGATCAGATGCACTTAAAGTAAGCTTAGATATAGACTCATTGGCAGGATTTAAGTTTTCTGAAGAAAAAGAAAACAAAGTCAAAAATAGTAGGAAAAAGGAAACATGAAATTCACTGTAAATTATTGTTAGTCATTCAGTTATAGACAACGTAGAACCTGACAAAAATATGCAACGCTTCATTTTTCTAAGATCTAGTGGATAATAATGGGTAGATGCACTTACGCCATTGCAGTCGATTTTCATCCATATAACAATACACCTGAAAACACTGAGCGCAGTTATTGCTCAGAAATGAAACAGATAGTCTGTACCTATCAAAATGTATCACATCAGCGATTAACGATTTCATGGAATGAGGCTACATTTCCACTTGGCTGCTCTTAATTTTTCCAACCTACTACTAAGCTAGTAGGCATCGTGTGTCGAGGTAGGGATTGTTAGGCAAACATAATATTTGCTCTGACCACTTTGGTCGATGAAAATTCACTAACTCATCACAGAAATTGCAACCTTTGCTTAGTAATCTATGCCCAAAATCAATATTTCTCACTTATTCACTCAAAAATACGCAAGTAATGCACATGGGCTCCAGTATCCTGCGGGAACAAATGGCGTATGAACCAATCGTTGGTCACCGGCTACCATGGGACTGCATCTCCTCACGATGCTCCACTGCCTTGTGGGTTAGACCTTTAGGTCAAAGGCTCGGGGAGTGGCCCCCTAAGATAACCACCTGCTTCGGTTTGGGCACCCGGGAAGTATCACAGCCCACACACAAATTGATGAACTCTTTATGCCTATGGAAATTACATTTCTCGCTTTGAACAACAAACAATTGATTCAGATTATTATCATTACAATTATTGTCATTATTAATACTAATATTATTATTACTACTATTATTGTCATTATTGTTATTATTATCATTATTATTATTATTTTCCACATTATTCACCCTCTTTTATACTTATACAGCGGCTCGTCTTTGGTAGAAATCCGACTGTATCTAAACGTCCTCGAGTCACTGTCCGGTTGAAAATTGTATGTTACCACCGAATACGAGGACTGAAGCAGTTTTTCTGAAACCACGTGCACCATGCAAACTGGCTGCCTTCAACGTTCGCACATTTATGCAGATCGGACAACAGATAGGGCTGGCTATGTCTTTGGAAAGTCTTAATATCGACGTGTGTTGTCTATCCGAGACCCGTATTCAAGACTCTGGCGAAGTACTACAAATTCGATCTCCATCTGTCGCTTCGAAAAGCTTGTTTTACGTGCGCTTATCCGGGGACCCTGTGGCATCTTCGTCTGGTCTTGCTGGCGTTGGTGTCGCACTAAGCGCTAGAGCTGAGGCAACACTAGTCGATTGGATCCCCATTAACAGTCGGTTATGTGCTGTTAGATTAGAAAGTTCCATCAAAGTGAGAAGAAATCGGCGTGAGAAACGATGTCTTTTCGTCATCTCCGCCTATGCTCCGACAGATTGCAGCCCGGATGCAATCAAGGATGAGTTTTACCACCAGTTATCAGTTCTTCTCCAGAAAGTGCGTTCGACAGATATTGTAGTACTAGCCGGAGACTTGAATGCTCAGGTCGGGCGTCTAGGCACAGAAGAGAGTCGTTTAGGTGGCCGATGGGGACTCGTTGGTCGCAGGTCAGATAACGGGGACCGTCTACTGCAACTGTGCACAGACCACAACCTGTTTCTGGCTAGCACTAACTTTCGGCACAGTCATCGCCGATGTGCCACCTGGCGTCCTCCCTCTGCATCTCAAGCCTGGACTCAGATTGATCACACCGCGATCAGCTACCGCTGGCGTGGTTGTGTACAAGACTGCCGCTCCTTTTGGAGTACCTATCTGGACTCTGACCATGCCTTGGTCTGCGCCAATCTTGCCTTACTTTTCAGTGGCCAACGAAGTGACCACCACCAAAAGATTGATGTTAGCAAGCTGGTTGCAACTTCTGTTGCAAGTAAGTATCGAACCGAGCTAGTCTCTAGGCTAGCTACTACTCCACCGAAAAGTATAGATGAGCATTGGTTGCAATTGCATGACGCCATGAAAATGGCGGGAACAGTCAGTTGTGGGTTTGCGAAACGTCCCGCTTTTAAGCACTGGGTTTCTCCAGGTTCCTTACAACTCATTGAAGCCCGTCGGTCTACTCCGGGTGACCGTGAGTTTGACCATAAACGAAGGATGTTACGTAAGGTAATTGGGCAAAGCTTGCGTAAGGCTCGAGAAGCCTGGTGGTCGATGCGTGCTAATGAGCTGGAAGCAGCAGCTGCATCTGGTAACTACCGGAAGCTCTTCCAACTCATCCGAGCCACTGGCAGCAAGAAGTCTGGTGTGAGTGAAACAATCTGCGAGGATGATGGGATGCCAATCACTAACATCCATCGACGTCTTGGACGATGGGCAGAATTTTTCGAAGGGCAGTTCAACTGGCCTGCTGCTCCGGCAACATCGGTCAGACTGTCCTGCCCTCCATGGCCGGTGACGACTGATCTACCAAATGAGGAGGAAGTCCGCAAGGAAGCGTTACAAATCACCTGGCCCAGATGACTTACCTCCGGCTCTTTTTAAAGATGGTGGTGACTTTTTGACTAAGGAATTGACGACGTTGTTTACAAAGGTTTGGGAACTAGAGAGTGTGCCAACGTCATGGAATGAGTCGATAGTTGTCCCTATCTTTAAAAAGGGTTCACGTCGTTCTTGTAACAACTATCGGGGGATAAGTCTACTTCCGATTGCGTCCAAGCTATCGGCTTCCGTCATTCTTCGTAGGTTGTTCAAAACCCGAGAAAGATTGACTCGCGAGGAGCAGGCTGGGTTTCGTTCTGGTCGAGGATGTATTGATCATATCTTCACCCTCCGCCAAATGTTAGAACACTGCCATACTTTTCAAAGGCCAACAATCGTAGTGTTTCTTGACATCAGGGCTGCCTTCGATTCGTTGGATAGGACTGTTCTCTGGGATTGTCTATTGAAGAAGGGTGTGCCTGAGAAGTTTATTAACATCCTAAAAGCCCTGTATAAAAACACCTCAGGCAGAGTGAGGGCATACAACCACCTCTCTCCATTGTTCCATTCGAGCAGTCGGGTTAGACAAGGTTGCCCAATCTCACCATTCCTCTTCAACTTTGCCATCGATGACATTCTGGAAACAGCTCTGATGAATGTAAGTAATGGTGGTGTGGATCTGCTGCCTGGAGAAAGACTTCTCGACCTTGAGTATGCGGACGATATTGTCTTACTGTGCGATAATGCCCAAGGCATCCAATCCGCACTTAATCAGTTGGCAATCAGTGTCCGTAGGTATGGTATGTGCTTCGCACCTTCGAAGTGCAAAGTACTTCTACAAGACTGGCAGGATTCTAATCCTGTACTCACCCTGGATGGTGAGCAGATAGACGTAGTTGAGAAGTTCGTGTATCTGGGTAGCTGCATAAGTGCTGGTGGGGGTGTGAGTGATGAGATCAATGCACGAATAGTGAAAGCCAGAGCGGCTTATGCCAATCTGGGCCACCTTTGGCGCCTTCGTGATGTTAGTCTGGCTGTAAAAGGCCGGATCTACAACGCGTCGGTGAGAGCAGTTTTGCTCTATGCTTGTGAAACCTGGCCTCTCCGAGTTGAGGACGTTAGACGACTCTCTGTGTTCGATCATCGCTGTCTCCGAAGGATTGCTGACATTCAGTGGCAACACCATGTCAGTAATGCAGAGGTTCGGCATCGTGTGTTCGGGCACAGAGATGATAATCCAATTGGTGTCACCATCTTGAAACACCGACTTCGGTGGCTTGGACATGTTCTCCGAATTTCGTCCCAGAGAATTCCACGTCGTGCATTATTTGCCGACTCTGGGACTGGTTGAAAGAAGCGGAGAGGTGGTCAGTGCATGACATGGTGTCGTGGCATGAAAGAAAGCTGCAAAGGACTGGCTTGTGTTGGTCCTTCACAACTCCCTGGCTGGTGTCCGAGAGATGGTGCTACACAGTGGCTAGAGACGTTATCAGATATGGCTCAGAATAGAAGCCAGTGGCGATCCTGCTGTAACCTTCTTTTACTTTCTTCACAAAAAGTGGTTGTGTCTCCTTTACCTGAAAGATTTCTTCTGATTGTACCTTTTCGTTCCGTCGTTACTACCACACTACCTTACTCCAATCTCTTCGTCATTGTTCTCTTTTTCTTTTGCGCTCCTTAGTTTTTTTTTTCTACTTCTCTTCGAATTCTCATTGTTTTGTGTGGCGCATATGTATTGGCGCTCTCTTGTACCAATATTTATGTGTTCAAATAAAAATAATAAAATGCTTCGAAAAGACTTATGGTCAAAAGCCTTTCACGTTTCACAACCACAAATTAGAAAAGAGTGGGCTGCTACACAGTATATAAGCCCTTCGGTTTGTAGACGGATATTTTGTCTATGTCACAAGTGACACAAACCGGCAAACATAGGCCGTGACTAGATTTTGTCAAACAACAAATTACTAAGGCTAATCTGACTTCCGTTTTAAGTGAAGTAGTTAACATGTTCAATATAGGGGAGATGGTGCGGATCGACTCTAGCTATACAACTCAGGACAGAAAAACAAGTGAATACAACGGCTTGACTTTAGCAGATGGATGCTACAATGAAGTGATGATTGAGACTGACTATGATGAAGATACAGTAGAATTATATTAGCTGGAAAACTAGTTTCATAAGATCCTATTATCTTAGAAAGATGGGTCGCATTGCAGTAAGGTTAAAAATAGCAAGTCATGGGTTTGAGAAAAAGCGTTAAATACTTTAACAAAAATGCTCTTTCATGAGCAAAGTGGTAGTAAAATTTTGATGTCATGAATTTTCCATACTGAGACTAACAGGGAAAATAATCACCGACATAATGAATGTGGGTTATCGGGCCTTCGAAGAAAAATTTTGGCTTTGTGATCACTCTGCTAGGCTGATAGGGCCATTAAAACTCACTTTGTCGGTAGTTCCCATTTGGTAAATGGAAATACAATCAATACCTTTAAACGGACGACCTGGTACACACATACAGTGGTCTAAATTTTCATACTAGGTCAGTAGTACAGCGCAATGACATTATTAAGATGACTAACAAAAGAGCCGACATAAGTAGTTGTACCAATGAATGTATAAAAAAATTATTCAGAAAGAAGGAAATTCAAGATTTCAAGTAACATAAGGAATAAGACGATCAATACATCATTATATAACAACTTTAACCATCAATAAAAGGATAATCGTGCAGACCTCAACTAGGTAGGTTGTATAGGCTACACTAGGATTGACACGGTTATAAATAACAGCCACTGCCAGGGAAGTCCTACTCACTTCCTTCTTGCGGCATTACTGTTATTTACGAAATTGAGAGGATGAAAAGCAAATGTCCGGCGCTTTAACCGGGTTGGTGGACACGGAGTCTATCTCGGAGAGCTGGAAAACCCTGATTCCAAGCCTGTGATGCACCTCGGCCCCAGTATCCTGAAGGAACAAATGGCGTATGAACCAATTATTGGTCATCGGCTACCATGGGATTGCATCTCCCTACGTCGCTCCACTGTCTTGTGGATTAGACCTTTAGGTCGAAGGCTTGGGGTGTAGCCCCCTTAGAAAATCACCTGCTTAGGTTTTGGCATCCGGGCAGTATCACAGCCCACATATGTATTTGGTGACTCTTTGTACCAATATTTATGTGTTCAAATAAATAATAAAATAAATACCCAACAGTCAATAGACTAACTTAGATTGCCGGTTGAGAGCCCTGAACGAGAACTTCTAAGGAGTCCCACACTAGGGCGAAACAGCCATTCAGTGCATCTAGGTTTTAAATGGTGAATTAGCTTGGATCAATTTTTAATATCAATAAAATAAATTAATAGTTCACAAGTAATGTCATTTTCAAGATACTCAACATCCATTAGCCAGATACCATCAGCAACAGCCTACTGTGAGAGAGAACAAACCAGCTTCCAGTTGAAGAGGAAATTAGGGAAAGATGATGGAAATGGATACGACATACATTATGCAAATCATCAAACTGCATCACGAAGCAATCCCTAACTTGGAATCATGAAGGAAAGCGAAAAAGTGGAAGGTCAAAGAACACATTACGTCGGGAAATAGAAGCAGATATGAAAAGCATGAATAACAACTGGAAAGAGCTGGAAAGGATTGCTCAGGACAGGGTTGAATAGAGAGTGCTGGTGGGTGGCCTATACTCTTCCACAAGGAATAACAGACGTAAACAAAGCAAGTAAGTAAATGTCATTTTCATGTTTTATTCCATGCAATGTGTTATTTCGTTTGAAAACTTTCAATCATATTCCATTCGATGTACACTAACAGTCATTTACAATGGATGATTTTATTTTGAAAGAAAACAGAACAAAACTTGTTACATTACAACTGTCCTGTCTAAAATGTATACTTCTTTTTTATATCATACCAACAACATCAGCGACCGAACTAAAGTTGTGTGTGTGTGAGAGAGAGAGAGAGAGGGATATTGGAAATCTGAGAAGTTAGACATGACCATAATTCAGTCACGGTATGCATATGCATATGATCAAAATAAATAAATAAATATTTATTTATTTAAGAATTACGACAAACAAAATCAAAAACAAACAGAGCAAAACGTAACTGAATAAGTACTATACGGAAAAAAGAAATTGACCGGATTGAGAGAGATGGCGTAAAGAAATCGCTGTCTCCACACACACACACACACACATACATACATACAATTTGAGAAATAACTAGTAATACCACATTCAAATATGACTTTACCATAAAGACCAAACAGTCAAACTCAATATCTTACCAGAAAGATGTAACAGTATGATCAGTTGATTCGAGAGAAAAACAACTGATTGAAGCCACCTCTACGCATGAAAATCGCTTATGTAACATAAGCGAACACATACACACACACACACACAGGATATGGGTTTCCTTGCCTCACCTCCAAAAAGTAGGACACATCTATGTAAACAACCCATGGTTTTAACCATCGTGATATATATGTATAATACATATTACTTAACCTTTCGCCTTGTTCTTATTACACCATTTTAAAGACAATCGAAGTTCAAATAGACACTTGGAAAAAGAGGGTTATATACACAAGCAACAAGTTGCTTCAACAACGAAATACAAAAGGATTTCTTGAGTAAACTACAATAATGAGGAAATATGTGTTGTTCTTGTCAAATTATAGGATTTCCTCCAATCGTTACTTTAGTTCTGTGTAACACAGATGAATCATTTATGGAAATTTTCTACCATTATTTTCGGATATATATATATATATATAGAGAGAGAGAGAGGGAGAAAGATAAGATCATCAAATTCAATCAGGAAATACCTAAACTCATCCTATAGGAATGGATACATCAGGAACAATCAATAATATGGAAATGATGCAAAAACTTTAAGATTTAGTGAAATATTAGAAAGAAAAAGTGGATACATCTGAGTTCAAAATCAGATGATCAATGGTTTGAAGAACAGTCGTACGTCAAATGTGTTCAGAAGAATATATGTAAGCTGTGAAGAGATCACTTTCAGCGAACTTGAAAAAAACAACATTCAGGTCTTGTAACCAGTACAAAATCATTTGACCACACTGAATGTGAATCGAATGAGCCTACCAAGTCTCAGATTTACTTATTATTACATAGCAACTCACGTGCAATTGAGTGTGTTCTCATTTAACTCAGTTAAGCCCTTTTATTAACTTACTTAGCGGACAAAGTCTTCTGTACTATAACAACTTATTGTACCTTTACTATGTTGTGCTTGTATGAGATATGTATGCTTGAACATTTGCTTACCACCTACTACTCATATACTCATTCTGCTAGCTTTATTATTAAGTGCTTAATTGATTAGATGATCCATTTAACATTCTACGCTCCCAGTTCGCTGACTCACTCATTCGCATCATTGCTTTGTGGTCTGAGTCATTTGCTAATAAAACTGTAGTCGCTGCTTCCTCTTTGCCTTCTGATTTCAAACACCGTTGAAGATTATATGGTAACGGTTACGACGGTGATTGGTCAACGAAGCATAGCCACTACAATCATTTGTCATCTTGGTGAGCAACATGGAGCGGTCGCTCAGTAGTTAAGATGTTAGACTTTCGAACACTAAATTCCAAGTTTGAGCTCTACTCCACCTAGTTTGGTTTGTGGAAGACTGGGTGGTATCACCAGGCCTTTTGTTTAAACTTCGTGAAGTCCGATCTCGAATTTCGTTACTTATCAAACCACTAAGTTATCTATGATACTCTACGAAATACACCGTAAACCGATTAGTGTCTTCATTGTATACCTCTTTTGATAATATAAAAACAAATAACCAAAAGTAGCACAAAACTCACCACTTCTATATTGTTGAAGTTGTTCTATAGAAAAAGGCCCAAATACATCTACATATTCATCCGGTACTACATTAAATTTAAAACAAAAGGTGAAATACATAGAAAGTGGAATAGGATGAGAAATTATTATAAAACAGACTGTATAACGGACAATTAATTAAATACAATTGAATAATTACTGAGTAATGACCAATCTCATGCTTGCCGAGTCCTTTTCAGTACTGAATGAATTCTACCAATCGATTTGTAATGTGGTCACAAATCTAAGGGACTTGATAGTGTGTAGATTATGGTACGACATTAACTGGTTGGAGGTAGTTGCTAGGAAACTCTGGACCTAGGAGGCCATCTGTAGCCTGTATAGCTTGATGGTAGCGTCTCTGGTTGCGAAGAAGGGTTAGGGAAGTCCGAATTCTACATAAAGCATCGATTACGCTGATATGGCAAGTACAAATTGCTGACAAGTGTCAACTAGCACGAAACTTAAACCCATGATTTTTTACAGACTGCCTCCAACCAATTAACATCTCAACCTGATCATCAATAGTAAAAGAAATATGGATACATAGCAAAAGTCCTGAATAATATTGAAGTATATACCAGGCAAATAACTCATGTTGGATATTAATAAATAGTACATATACAGTTCTGCTTTAGTAAGTCAGTTATAATCACTGTAGAGCATGGAATAAATATGCATCATCCCAAGTTCCTACACCATATCAGTACGATAAGATAAATTCAAACAATATGAATACCGAGAAGGAGTTGGAATTACCGTCGTATTGCCAGTGATAATGCGAAAGACTTTAAACAACGAAAAGCAACACGATCAAAATCGAAACATACAAGTAATCACAAAAAAAGATAATTCACACGTTGTAGCAATGTTAAACAAATTATCGAGTTACAACGTAGATTTTATCATATAGAGACTTTAGTTTTAAAAAAAGTATTGGTAAACGAAGCGCATTAAACATTCGTTTGCCCGCAAAGGCGCGTACCCACGGTTGTATCATAAGACCGAACTGACGATCTATGGGGTTTCGCATTCAGTAGTAATATACACTCATATACCTGATTTTAAACTTGATGGCACTTGTTAAGCAAAGTGTGCCTGTAATCTTGAGAAAACTGATGCTCCCTGACGGATTCGACTGTGTCAACTAACGTCCAGGGTTTCCTGTCGACTACCTCCAACCACCATCTCGTCTCAACATAGTGCACGCGATATTGAGTCACCTAGAGTAGTCGCCACATTGCAACTTGATGTATACAATTCGATTTGTATTAAGGACTTAACACACATTATATTGGTCACCATTCAATGATCAATCAATTGCGGAATGTATGTGTGCTAAATGAAATAAAATATACAAATAAACCCTGGCATATGAAGGTAGTGGGTAGGTCTTCGCTGGCAGAAAGGCTATAAACGCGTAACCGTATGAAAACATTTCGGTGGGACAAGTAGACACCCCTCTCCCTTGACAACACCAAGGCACTTGGGGGGAAAAATTACTCCCCCAAGACTAAATCCCAGTCATATTGTCTAATATTTCTCCACAGTTGAATTGGTTATTTCGGTTAGAAAGTTTATAGTTTCTTACAAATGTATTTATATCATCAACCCACTAGAACTGATGATTGCTCAATGCACTGAATAAAAAGTTACTACTAACGATCTAGGTACAGTTTTAGACCGTAATCTGAACAGACATTTTGTGTTTCAATGAAGAGAAACACAATCCAAATAGTCACAGATCGGTTTCATTGTGTTTTATGAGAAAATATTGTCAGTCTTAACTAGAATGAGTTCTGGAGGTTGGTGAGAGCCTTTAAATAGCAGTTCAATTTCTGAAAAAAATAGACGAAGAAACATTTACATGTAGGGCCATATTTACGACAAAGACCATATAAAAACAGCAGGAAGCAGATACTGATGAACGTTACTTTATGCAATGAATTCTGATGAGTTTTTGAGAAGCCATGTAGATATCGGCAGTTCTTACTATAACAAAGTCATAATCTAAATTTACTAAGGAAGTACAGGCTTATATTTTGAGCTATAAGCCCATTCGTGTTGAAACAGATATTACTCAGCTGACTAGACCAAGGCAAGTGTGAAACCCAAGTACTCTACCAACCAGTAAACCACTGATTTTCCTGTTACGGGATCATGTACGAAAACTGTATCGTAAAATATAATCCATCGAAAAATTTAAATAATCAGACTATACATCTTGAATCAAAACACAACAAAATTTAGTAAAAATCATTTCAAATATCTGATAATTAGTAAACTAGAAACACAAACTGTTAATAAACACAGAACTATTACTAACCGTTAGGAGCAATTCCTTCAGGATTGGCAGCGATCGACGGTGGAATAATGGTGTAACCTGCTTGAGCCAATGCCTTTAAAACCACAACAAGCGCTACTGAACTAGCTCTGAATCGAATATGCTGTGGTCGAACGCATAATTCATGATCACATGTATGAACCATGATGTTGGTATCGGTACTGGACATTGGTAAACCATGATACAGCATACCAACAATTGTATCTAATCTCCAAACCTAATAATAGAAATACAATCTATTGACGTTCATAGATAAATAACACAAATTAACAAATGAATACTTTTATTAAAACATTAAAGTAATATTTATGCTCAAATCTTTAGAACTGAAATTAAACAACACCGATATTACCTTTACCAGTCTTTAATTTGATTTTCTTTATGGAAACAATCAGGATGAAAGGTTATCAAACATAAATAACGTCACACAACAACTATGTACAAAAGGACTGTTTAGTCATGTTCAGATATTAAACATGATTTCCTGTCATTTGATATGAAATCTTAAAAATACAAAAAAAACTTTGAAAGGATAGAGAAGAATTTTATTTTAGGTGGATAGTTCTGGCGTTGTTGTGCTTTATTAAGCTCGATATTTTAATTGAATAGTTTCCATGGTTGTTCTGGACAACTTTATCTGACCCTAGTTTATTTATCTAAACACAAATATTATTACACGTGGGCACCAAATACAAATGCGCCACACAATAACAACGAGGCCAGTAGCAGTTATAATTGATTTGCATGAGCTGTGAAACTGCCCGGATGCCAAAACCGAAGCAGGTGATTTTCTAAGGGGGCTACACCCCAAGCCTTCGACCTAAAGGTCTAATCCACAAGACAGTGGAGCAACGTCAGGAGATGCAATCCCATGGTAGCCGATGACCAATAATTGGTTCATACGCCATTTGTTCCTTCAGGATACTGGGGCCGAGGTGCATCACAGGCTTGGAATCAGGGTTTTCCAACTCTCCGAGATAGACTCCGTGTCCACCAACCCAGTTGAAGCGACGGACATTCGCTCCTCGTCCTCTTGAGTTCGTAAACAACACCCCACCACAAGAAAGCAATGAGTAGGACTTCCCTGGCAGTGTCTGTATACGCGTGGCCTTGTGAGAGAATTTCGAGAGGGAGAGCGGACTTTCCTTACACTCGGCCGTACCAGGGCATTTGATGGCATCTGCACCTAGCTCATTTAAGGAGTTTACAAAATTTGACACGGCTCATTCTGGCAGTCAGTCAGTGACTTTATCGATTGATGACCTACAAAACTCTGCCCTAAAATTGCTTAAAATTTAAATGACCCTTTATCACGTTTATTCTCAGGTTTAGTATTTGGCATATGTGTCAATTTGTTAAAAAGAAACTTTTTGTTAGATAATTGTACTTTCTTTAGATCATATGTTCGTTTGAGACCTGAATCAGTGTTTAGATCTTGTGAGCACTGTATCGCCATGCACTCTTCATTGCCCTCAAATGCCCTGGTAACGTCGAGTATGAGGAGAGTCCGCCGTCGCTCTCCAAATGCTCTAATTATGACCATGCGTATATACCCACTGACAGGAAGGTCCAACTCACTCCATAAGAGGACGAAAAGAGAATATTCGACGACTAAACCGGGTAGGTGGGTACGGAGGATCCACCCATGGAAGTTGGAAAACTCTGATTCAAAATCAATGGTGCACATGCACTCCACGATCCTGAGGGAGCAAATGGTGTATGAACCTACTCCTGTGTACCAGTCACCATGGACCAGCATCTAACATTGCTCCACTGTCTTGTGGATTATACGTCTAGGTCAAAGGCTCGGGGAGTGGTTCCCTAAGAAAACTATCTGTTTCGGTTTGAGGAAAAGTGCAGCATTCTAGCCCTCACACAAATTTTGCGTAGCGCATATGTATTTTTGTATTTTTTTGTATCAATGTTAGTGTTTAAATAAATAAATAGTAGTTTACAAATCCCCATAGAATATTAAAAATGAAGAATATTTGAGCGTCTTTGAAAAGGTGTGAAGCTTTGAAAGTGGGTATACTGACCCGTCCATGTACTCTTTCTAAATATATCTCGGTTTATAGAACCGTCTATCCTTCTAGAAATATTCTTCATTTTTTAAATAAATAATACTTGAATTCATAAGTCAACTAAAGCTAGACCACCATGGAAAATTTGGAAGCGCTGGATGGTCACTTCGTGCTAGTATGAGACTCCTCGGCAGTTCCCATCCACGATCCTGCACGCGGAACTCGAACCCAGGACCTTCGGTCACGCTTAACCTTACTACAATCTCCACAAACCGACATTCTGGAAATAATAAACTCTTCATTATGATCTAATTCTTCAGTGTACTAACCGAAGGTGTTCATCACAAATGCAAGACATTTTACTACCATGGAATTTTGAGAAGTGAACTTCTTGATAATAGAATTTTACCAAGCAAAATAGTTGACACCAATTCGTTTTTAACATAAATAATATATGCACGGGCGTTGTGAAGATAAGCGAATTTAATTTAAATTGCTAATCTATCTAGATTACCAAACCACTGGCAACCTGGAAGCACCAGATGAGTTTCCTCCTAGAATGAGATCTCATGCTGATAATCATCATGTGCTCCCCAGAAACTATCTTCGAGAGGAAATTTTGAAGTTCTAGGGAGAAGCCTTGACTAGTGGAGTTTGAGGAAGGCATCCACAGAAGACAATGGAAGATGATGGTGCAATATCGTGGACAGATTAAAGTTAGACCTGTACACCATCAAATACCGCCTTAGTGGTCTGAAGGCTAAGTGTTCGCGCACGAGACCGGAAGTCTTGAGTTTGACTCACGGTGCCGATTTCACGGACGTGCACTGCTGAGAATTTCTATACCAGGAAGAAACAGTTGTCTGGTGGTTATGTTCTGCTATAAAATCACTTCGCCAACATCCTTGGGATAATCATGAGATAAAAATGAATCAAATTCTACAATGATTGAAAAACAAGACGCATAAAATCATCCCAGTAAACAGTAGAAACTAAGTTGCATCCAATGAATATATACTTTAAATGATTAATAAGCAAATTAACTCATTCTCCAGGTACTTAGACATTAGTCACACTGTGTGAAGGATACTACTGCCTAGTTGCGCAAACCGAAGTGGAGTGTGGTTCGAATCCGAAACTTAGTGGCTGAAAGTCGAACACCTTAGCCACTAAGACACTGTTCACATACAAATTGACATTTAGGAAAGATATAAAACTTACTTTATCAGAACCTTTGCCACCATCAATGCGTCGCATACGGCCTTTAGCATCACCACGGCTTATAACACAAGAATGCGGATCATTTAAAGTATCCTCACTTCCAAGCCAACATTTAAGAAACCAAAATACTGAGTCACTGGGCAACTCTTTATACAACTTCTTGAGCAGATTTGATACAGCATCAGTTTCACTTCCAGCATTCATCTCCTAAAAAGTGCGTGCAATTAATGGGAGTTAAGCTATATGTTTCGAATATTCTTCCAGTGATCAATGGAAAATATCCATTAAACCAAATATCATTCTTTCCTGAATGCAAATGCTGCTATGATATAATGCTTGAACTTAACTATTGTCCCAATCAGACTGAGTTTTGACTGGAACAATCACTTTTCATGATCTTATCAAACCACACAGGTCAGTTGGATAGCAGTAGGACGGACGATTCCGGAATGCCCGAGCAGCAGAGATACGTCAAAACAAATCAACTAAATAAAGACTTTCTTAAATCTTTCGTGTTGTGTTCTAAAGAGGCTATTTAGATTTATGCGGATGGCTTGAACGGCAGAAACCAATGCGTCATCTGAGTAGCTACGACTGATTTTGAAAATCATGTCAAAATCAATGATGACATAATATCAATTCAGAATTGCTTACATAATATACTCACAGATGTAGAGGACAAAACAATGCTCAACTGTGCTTATGGTAGTTACGTTCCCCAACCATTATTTACGTAATTTTCTAAATATATTTTCCCTCTCCGGATGTTAAATGTCTAAGTCTGGCCCTGCATTGTTCATTCCCATAGGACTAACTACCAAGTTATTACTCAAATACTACGTGAATGACCCAGTCAACCCAGAAAAGGTCCTTTGTTTATAGATAATGAAGATAAACTTTTGACCCACTATTCAATGAAACAATCAGAACTTTTTTTATAAGTTTTAGTCTACTATCACATAATTCATCACATAGCAAATTGTAGAGTTATATATAGGCATCATTAGGTCTTCGACAAGTATCTAGTGTATTATGAAGCCAGATTTTCCTCATCAACCGGCTCCATCAGCTTTACTCATTGATAAAGTACATTACTTACGTTACCCCTCGTGGAGGAGCATAAGACACTCACCAGCAGATAACGTACATAAGAAAGAATTATTCATAAGTTTCGTAAGAGGTGATTTAAGTGCTAGTGAAAGGACAGACAGGAAACAGACTTATTGTGAAAGTTTTTTTCGTAGCAAACTTAAATAGGCATGACTACAAAAAAAGTATTCCAGACCCTACTATAATAACTCAATTAAACTTTTGAGGCTGAAAGCCAAGAGAACGCATTGTATGATGAACAGCTGTTTCACTCAGATCCATAGGAATTTGAGGAGCTAATTTCCACACACTTTAGTTCTTACAAGGCATTTTTATGGCATTCCCAATCAACGACAAATCAAATATTGCATAAAGAATGACCTCTCCTAAGCTGGAAATTTCTAAACCATACAGACTATGCTAGGTAATAACTACTGAGTGCAAAAGGTGATAACAGCTTACTAAAGATAAATACCACAATACCATCCATTGATATGGTTAGGTTGTATTCATCAATTGAAGCACACATCCGTAAATCAGTTATCTTAATCACAGCTAAATTATAGGTCGCGAACTTTAATAATAAGCTCTATTTCAGATTGACAGGATTCAGTGTAATTTCAAAGTAGTAGTAGCATATTTTAGAGTCGGGATTGAGGTCACTAACAAATCCCGTCCAAGAGGTAAAAAAGAAATGCCTAATATTGTGAGCCACTTAGGAATGATTAAAAAAATCACAATCAGCACACAGAAAAAATTGTGACCAAAAAGGTTCAAACTATTCATTACAGGGTTGAGTACATAAATGTATGTATCCTAGAAGAATAAGGACGATAAGAATGGTGCCTTTCAGACCCAGCAGTAAAAGTAGACTACAATATAAAAGAGAACCCCTAATTATGTAACAAAGACTCGTCAATAATTTCAGAAACAATACGTAAATGAACCTCACATATCACCTGTTGGTAAAAAAGCATCTGCACGTGCAGATAACAAACGCTCACCCCGATTTTTAATGCTATGAGACTCCAATCACTTTGGCTCTGGCCGCTGTTACATGCCATGCGGCGGTTTTCTTCCCGATTGCGTTCACGCATTGATGAAACACCCCGAAACCACAAAGGAGCGATGCGCTTGCAGCGTCCAATTAAGGCCCGAACAAACAATGCTTCACTAGGCTTGGCAGCCGCATGTACAGGGAACTTATGTGAGCATTCGCTTGGGAGATTCGGGACCTGAAATTCTGAATTGAGGGAGGGTAGAGATGATTGCGCGGAAAAAACATTTGATGACTCCTCGGCACAATGGACAGACAAAGGCTTTGTGTTTGAGTCCGTAGAACTAGAAAGTGAATTGTGATTGCTTTTATCTGATTCTGAATAAAATTCAGCTTTTGTTTGGGATGACAAACATACTGTTGTCGAAGTATCCAATTTATCGGAGTCATTGAGCGAAAAACCAACTGAAGGTATACGGATCGAGTTTGAGTTTGGAAAGGAATCATCTTGGAGAACAGTACATGAAGGACTCAACTGATTATCACCGGGATTGTGAACAGAAAGAGGATACAACACTCCAGTGGACAGATTACTAAACAATGGTTCAGGTTTCACATTTATATTATTAGACTCCATGCAGTTTATAAATTAGAAATCCCATCCATGCCAGCAGTATGACCACTAAAACATCAACGTGAAGACCGGGCCCGAAAAACGTTTGTTCAAAATTGCACACAGCCTAAAGTTTCATACGCGCTCTCTACCACTAAAACCCCTGTTGTTCAAAATACATTTACTTACGCCAAAAATCTGTAATCATACTAAAATCTTATATTAAAATCTTGTCGCCTTCGGTTAAATGATAATGTACTAAGATGTGCTTTCGCGCGGTGTATTCAGATATACACGCAACGTTACTTAGTGTATGGATTCACTCCAAGTACAATTTCCTAACAATCCTACAGATGTGCACGGGGATTGTAGAAACCATACTATGACCCCAATTTGCACAGGGACATCTGTTATTGGGATTAAATATAGAGATGGAGTTGTTCTAGCTGCTGATATGTTAGTTTCATATGGCTCCCTAGCCAAATATATGGATTTCGAACGCATGTTTAAGGTAAGCAAAGTTTTCTTCTCCAAAACTAACTTCACTAGGTAAATCAGAGCACAATTATGTGCTGTAGTGGTGATATGGCTGACTTTCAATTTCTCAAACATCACATTGAAGAGCTGACACATCAAGACAGTCTACTTTCCGACGGCTTTAGGCTGAGGTTGGTATCTTGGCTAATTTGGTTATTTTTGCTTTCAGCCCTCATGCTCTCCATAGCTGGATTACACGTGTACTATATAACCGTCGAAGTCGTTTGCAGCCACTGTGGAACACCTATTTGGTCGGAGGTTTGGAAGCAAATGGCGAGCCCTTCATTGGGTATTGTAGTATGCTTGGTGTTTGTGAGTCACGTTCCATATAAACATAGTTTAATTTTGAACTATCTGAGTATCTCGATTTTTTTCCACTCCAACGCCCTATCTGTCTTTCCTGTTCCAACAATGGATGTGACATCACATCCACCAAATTGCCATAGTAAATAAGGCCGACCGTAATACTATTTGATCAGAAATGTAAAACTGGTAAGGCACTGTCTTAGGACATCCGACATACCATGTTCAATCAATGAGAGGCTAGTATAGAATAATCTCAAAGACATCGGATTTCACCTTTAGCGAGACCATCATTTTTAAATGACTTGAGTAAGCCCAGTTGTCACTCAAATATCTCTTAAACTCCAACTTTTTCAGCCCTAAGTCTTGAGTAATCTACAATCTTCTACGTCCTAGGCAGCCTGGTAATGTTATTATCCTGCACATCTAATAACACCAGTGGTAAAGTATGTCTTCAATGCTCAGTTCAGGGCAAACGAGCCTCCTAATAGCCGTCTTAACGCCTCACAAGTAGCGTCCATGTAGGTCTCTTGTTGCATATGTTCCCGGACTTTTTACACATATATAGAACGAATATTGTCTATATTCTGAATATCAGACATTTTTGGGTTACTTACTGTGTCACAACTTTCAAATTGAATAGCATAAAGACATAATATTATAACGACAATTATCAAGAGTTGTAGCTTGTCGAAAATTATATCTTGTCCCTAGTATAACAAGTATTTGATACTAGTGACCTGTCACGTTTAATTCACTGGACTCATAATGTTTGTATTGGTCAACTATTTACAGTTGCGTCACAAGCCTATAGTAACATTCTCATTACTCTGATTCTCAGTCTCCTAGACCTTACCTTTTTAGTCAACCCTTATCATCTTTGTAGCATTCACCGAAAATTATGTTGCGACTGGCTTCGGTGCATACCTTGCAATGCCTATTCTAAGAGAATGTTTGGAAATAAAAGCTGGGGGTGATCCAAACAATATAACGGAAGAAGATGCTATCTCAACAATAACAAGTGCAATGAAGCAATTATACTTTCGAGATTGCCGGTAAATATCTCAAGTTTTTTTCAGATTATTTCAATTTCATTTAAGTCAAATTAATTTTTGAAATGTATTATTTAGTAAGTAAAGAATTTTGAATGTGCAAGATGGTGGCTAGAAGCTGTTTCCTAATCAACCATCAATTCACAGGTTCTTAATATTGTGACAAAAACTACACTTTCTTTTGGGCATTTACTAGGGTATCGATGAACATACTTAACTGATTAGACTCTAAGAAGTGCTTTTACAGGACTGGAAGGGGGTTGTACCCACACTCACTCTTAGTCAATCAGTTATGCTCAACATAGAACCTAGCACTTTTACATTAGTTCGAGTTTCCATACTCTGTTACAACAACGAGATGAAATTTCCAGGGCGAATCCCAAAATAGTAGAATCACTAACAGTATTTGTGATGCTTAAAAAGACTAATCTCCAATGAATTGCTGACATTCAGTGGCAACACCATGTTAGTAATGCAGAGGTACGGCAGCTTGTGTCCAGACACATTGACGGTGGTTCAATTAGTGTCATCATCTTGAAGCACCGTCGTCGGTGACCTGAACATGAACTACGAATATCATTTCAATGAATTTCACATGGTGCATTATTTGCCAACGTTAGGACTGGTTGGGAAAAGCTGAAATGTAATCAGTTTATGGCATAGTGCCATAGTATAATACAACACTGTACAGGACTGACATCTGTCGGATCTTCATGACTCTTTCTGTGGTCCAAGGAGTGGCGCAACTCAGTGGTTTGAAATATTATCGGATATGACTCGAAGTTAGGACTTTCTCACTGAAAGGATTCGCTTGGGTTGCATTTTACTCAGCCTCTTTCCTTTATCTCCTCACAACCTCATTTTCTTGTTTGCACAGTGCACATTTTATTTTGGTGTTTATTTGTACTATTATATCAGTTTTAAATAAGCAAATAAACAGTCTCCCAAGTTGAAGATTGTTCTACTCTTAACAAAGTAGTAGAATTAATACTGGGGCATTAACCACCTTTTCTTTCGGTAATTAAAAGTGACACCAATCCATGAAGTCATTAACAATTGGACTGACATCCATATTGATGAGTATGGACTACCTGGTTGGGGTCCGCGTGATTATTGTAACCAAATTTGTGCGACTTTGGATGAATTAGCTCAAAAGCGTTAAAAGCAGCACAGGCTCATTCACTCTTTGTCGTCTACTAGAAACTGACGTTCTGTCATCATACTCATCATAATCTCTTCTGTTTCTACTGATACTGTTACATCTTCTACCATTCTGGGAGTTTTTGCCGTGCTAATGTAATAGTATTACGACCTGAACTGACAGTCATACATAACAGGTTCTACGTTGCTTATGTAAAAAGTCTGATATTGTTCACATATAATTTGACCATCGTGTCACTGTTTAGTTTTTCTTGTTTCTTTCTTGGAAATTAACAGTGCATTCGATACGTATCAAATGGCTGTCGTCAATAAAGAAGGAATACAAATAAGTGGCCCATTACGCCTGAAATGTGATTGGTCTATTGCTGAATATGTAAAGGGATATGATTAAAAGATATTTTGTTTTAAAGCTTCTTTTTATGGGAAATAAATTTTTTGATAGGAAAAATATTTTTCAGCCAATAACTTTTGTTTCACAACCTACATCAATCCGTATTTGATGTTATCATTATTGTTAAGTTTTTAAGTGTTCGATATGTTACTTACTTACGCCTGTTTCTCCTAATGAAGCATAGGCCATTGACCAGCATTCTCCAACCCACTCTATCCTGGGACTTCTTTTCTAGTTCTGTCCAATTGTTGTTCATTCTTCTCCATTTCTCGACGTAATGTGTTCTTTGTTCTTTCTCTCCTCCTTTGGCCTTAAGGAGTTGTTCGGATATAATAACTTATGAATAAATGGTCAGTCAGATGCGAGCAATATTTGTAAGACATCTGTGATCAAATACTAGTAGCTTATAAGTGTCTTCTACTCTAAAAGGCCATGTTTCGCTGCCGTAAAGTAAAACAGAACGGACTGTCGCGCAGTATACTCGTCCTTTTATTGATAGACGGATATCTCGCTTTCGCCATAAGTGACGTAAGTTGGTAAAAGCCAAACGAACTTTTCGAATCCATGCTGAGATTTCGTCAGACACCAACCCATTAGGGCTGATCAGACTTCCACGATAAGTGAAGTTGTCAACGCGTTCGACTACTTCACTCCCTATCCTTAGTCCAGGTGTTGACGCAGACCAGTCCTGAAGCAACAACTTGCATTTCGAGGGGGGAAACGCATCCCAAACATCCTGGCATTGTTGCTCAGTGCTATCAAAAGACTCTGCATTTTATCAGCGTCTTCACCAAACAGAACATGTCATCAGCGTATTCTAAGTCGATAAGTGGACCTCCTGGAAAAAGATCAATACCCGAGAATCCAGTCCACGAGAACGTTATTGCCATCAGTAGATGTATGATGAAGTTAAACAAAAATGGAGGAAGTGGATAGCCTTGACGGATACTACTTGAGGTTTCAAGAGCAGATGACAGTTCGCCGTAAGTTCTGACTCGACTGGTAGTGTTCGAGTAAAAAGCCTTCACAAGGTTTATGTACTTTTGAGTTAGGCCTTTCAATGAATAATTGGTGACCTTAATGACTATACTTATCATCAACCGTTATATAATTTTAGGATTATCTATTTTGATTCGAATTCTTACCATTATTGAATAAGTTTTAGTTTACTCATTTTATCGATAATAAATTAAGAAATATATTACTCTGAGATTAAAAATATTCATATGAACAGCTAGTCACAGCACAAAATGTAACGTATTTTAGTTATACTCTGAATTCCTTAGTCTTATATTTGTTTATAAGATTACTGAACTTTAGTAAATATTATAGTGAGACTATCATTTATAAATAATCTTTGAATGATTTCAAGTTTATCTTCAATCATATTTTAGGTAGAAACAAGATTATGACTTAGGATGAGGCATTCGGATTAAGAGTTATAGTTTTCACCACGAATTGACGTCACTTATTATTGTCAAAATGCTATATGACCATGTGAGTAAATGAATTTTACATAAGAACTCTAAAGTTACTATCTTATTGGTTTATCCATAAATTATAGCTCAACCACTGAATGGTTTAGTCGTGAAGTTTTAATTTTCTTTATAGACAATACTATCGATACATTTTTTCAAAATGAACTGTTTAATCTCTTGTAATAAAGTCTTCATAAGAAAGATATAGTTTATGCAGATATGTCATTGGTACTAATTTTTGGAATGAACAATTATAGTGGTATGGAGAAAGCGTTTGCTTGTATTGTGAATAAACTTCTGTTGGTGGTAATGAACCGTATAATATTTCGAAATGTTACAGTCTAGTCAACTGATAACTATTCAAAAGACTGAATCACTAACGTAAATCACCACATGACTTCATTAATTTTAGAATATTGGGGTCATGTGCCCACCAATAGAACTAAGACCCATCTGTCGGACTAATAAAGTCCCACTTTGGTCATCTTAAATGTGCTAGACTATACTCCACTGTCATTCCGTAGGACTAAAGCTTTCTAGTCTTCAATTTGTATCTGGTCTACGAACTAATTCTTTCTTCCTGTACTACATCCTTATTGCAATCTTTCTTTTATATATTACCACCTCTGAATTAACTACTTTTATGAATCCGGTGTCCATTTTGTTGTGTTAATAAGGTATGGCAACTTGGACCGATGCATATATGTGCCTGGTCCTACGTTGTAGCTGACTGACTGGTCTACATGAGCTACCTCTTACCGAAAGATGAACGCACGCTTTTTATTGGTAGTCGGCTATTTAATTGCTTTGGTTACCACTGAACAATTTACAACCGAGTCTAATTATCCGGATTTCATTCGAAGTACATGTAGGCAAACCTTCTCCCGGCAGTGATTATCTTATGTGCATTATTGTTTCTATAAAATTTAGAATGACATAATTACATTGTAGTTAGACTGCTTACGCCTGTTACTCCCAATGGAGCATAGGCCGCCGACCAGTATTCTCCAACCCACTCTGTCCTCCGCCTTCTTTTCTAGTTCCATCCAATTCTTGTTCATTTTTCTCATGTCTATCTCCATTTCTCGGCGTAATGTGTTCTTTGGTCTTCCTCTTTTCCTTTGGCCTTGAGGATTCCATGTGAGGGTTTGTCTTGTAACGCAGTTGGGTGCTTTCCTCGATGTGTGTCCTATCCACTTCCTGATTTCTTCCTCCGCTGGGATCTGGTTTGTTCTCTCCCACAGTACGTTGTTGCTAATAGTGTCCGGCCTATGGATCCGAAGTATTTTGCGTAGACAATTGTTAATAAACACCTGTATTTTCTGGATGATGGCTTTTGTAGTTCTCCAGGTTTCTGCCACATACAGTAGAACTGTCTTGACATTTGTATTGAAAATCCTGACCTTGGTGTTGGTTGACAGTTGTTTTGAGTTCCAGATGTTCCTCAGTTGTAAATATGCTGCTCTTGCTTTGCCGATCCGCGCCTTCACGTCTGCATCAGATCCACCCTGTTCGTCAATGATGCTGCCCAAATACGTAAAGGTTTTTACATCTTCCAAATCTTCTCCGTCAATTGTGATTGGATTGGTGCATTCTGTGTTGTATCGGAGAATCCTGCTTTTCCCTTTGTGTATATTGAGACCTATTGCTGCTGAGGCTGCTGCCACACTGTTCGTCTTCTCCTGCATTTGTTGTTGCGTTTGGGATAGAAGGGCCAGATCGTCTGCGAAGTCTAGATCATCCAACTGCATCTTAGATGTCCATTGTATCCCGTGTTTCCCTTCAGATGTTGACGTCTTCATGATCCAGTCGATCACCAGGAGAAAGAGAAAGGGTGAGAGTAAGCAACCTTGCCTAACACCGGTCTTCACTTCGAACGACTTTGTCAACTGTCCTCCATGCACGATTTTGCAGTGTAATCCATCATATGAGTTCTGTATGATATTGACTATCTTCTGAGGCACGCCGTAGTGTCGAAGAAGCTTCCATAGTGTTGTTCTGTCCACGCTATCAAATGCGTTTTCGTAGTCAATGAAGTTGATGTAGAGTGATGAATTCCATTCAATTGATTGTTCCACAATGATCCGTAGAGTTGCGATTTGGTCTGTACACGATCTATCCTTACGGAATCCTGCCTGTTGGTCACGAAGTTGGACGTCTACGCAGTCCTTCATCCTGTTTAACAATACCCTGTTGAAGATTTTTCCTGGTATTGAGAGAAGAGTGATGCCCCTGTAGTTATCACACTTGCTGAGATCGCCTTTCTTCGGTATTTTGATCAGAAGTCCTTCTTTCCAGTCTGTTGGTACTTGTTCCTCATCCCAAATCTTATTGAAGAGAATGTGGAGTATCCTTGCAGTTGCCGCTACGTCTGCTTTTAGTGCCTCTGCTGGGATGTTGTCCGGTCCTCCTGCTTAGTTAGACTGCTTAGTACCCGAATTTAGATAGTATAGTTCGTAGAAAGCAAATCTAATTTATTGATCAGATCAACAGTTTTAGAGGTAAAGCTTGTGATAATCTGCAATGCGATTTCCACAGAATTTTAGGTCACAGGTTATCAATGACAATTTCTCAAGTAACACCTGTCTTGACGGGCAATGTGTGGTGTGAGTAGGTTGGGAGAAGGCTGGCAGCCAGACCTACAAATGACAGCAGTCTATGAAGTCACTAACAGTCGAACTGAGTTATCTTGATAAATGCAGACTACTTAGTTGTGGTCCGCGCGACTTTCGTATTGGTTTGAGATTGAATGAAATGGCTCGAAATCGCTTGCAGTGACGAAGGTGTATACACTTTTCTGTGATGCATAAAATATTGTTTTGTTTTATCCTTCTTAAGTAACTACAAATTACTCAATCCTCTTCCGTTTATGCTATGCCATTATTGTAATCTCTTAACTTCGTTGATGTGGTCAAGATTTTGCTATATATTTTTGTGTGCTTCGAGTCATGCTTGCATTGAGGACAATGGAAGCTGGTTGCTGACTTCTCTTTCGACTCAAGGGATGGTGGAAAGTTTGAGGATGGCGGACCAATAAGAGTTTAGCTTGCGTCAGCTTAAGGTTAACGGCGTAGGTCGGACGCATAAATGGTCGTCTAGGAGACCAGGTTACAGACAGAATAGTAGAATAGAAAGACATAATCAGAATCGACTAATGACTTGAGAACGACTTATAATACAGTGATAGGAAGTTGACTGTTTATATCAGTCACAGAATATATCGAGCAGTTATACTATTCGAAACATTAGCATACATTTAACCAAAAAACTAAAGTAACTTCGCCTAGAGATAAATTCAGTGCGTAATTACTGAAGATCGATGAGATGAATAAAAAAAACCAGTTTGGCTAGTAAATAAAGTTTTAAAGTCGTTGACTCATGTATAGAATGACAGTGGCAATTCAGTGAGGGATAAAAAGTGAATAATCTCAGAATAACATGGTAGTGGACTGTAGGGTTACAATGTACTCGAAGCGTTTCCCGTGACGAAAATAATAACAGGCTTCTAACTGAAGTTTGTGCTGATGATGTTGTTCAGAAGAACAATGAAATCTCCACGACCCAACCATCCAGC